TGACCTGTTTGTGCCAGCGCAGCAGATTCGCAGTTAAAGAGTCTACTGTTATGCCCGACAGTGTAAAATGTACACACAGCACTTGCAGGTTATTCATCAGCTGTTTCACTGTTACTCTTCACCTTGCTCTGTGTTTAATAGTCTCTGCCGGTCTGCTCTATTGGCCTGCCCATTTGCATGAACAAGAGCCTGAGCCAATCGTTAGCAAAATTTTCTGACAAAGGCAAAATCATGAAGCTTGTTTATCATTGCTTTAGCCATTTACATGTTCTACATGTTAAGCATGTTAAATATTCTAACAAGTACATGAAATCTGTCTCATAAAGAGAATAATCTATCCATCATTTATCAAATACAGGATTGTGGAACCTGGAGCCTATCCCAGCAAGCAATAAGCAGAATGCACTCTTGATGGGACATCAGTCCATCACAGGGCACACACAGACACAGACACACACTAGTGCTAGTTTCCCAAGAAGCCATTTAACCTGCCAGCATGTCTTTGGACCATGGAAGAAAACCAGAGCACCCAGAGGAGACCCACATGAACACTAGGAGAAAATACAACCTCCATGCAGACAGCACCTCAGGAACTGAAGCAAGGGCCCCAGCTCTGCTTGGCAACAATGCTAACCACTGTATCATTATACTGCTCAGGAGAAGGACTGTAAACCTTAAACATGAAGCAGTAGCACCCTCTTCAGACCACATGTTAGAATTACAAGTGCCACGAAGGCTACATAGATTACTCCTCATTTTTTCTGCTAAAGTTCACTTGAAGTTTATTTGTCTCTCCTTTCAATTTTAATCAGAAGTAATAACTGGTGCTGGGATAAAAGAAGGAGAGACTCTGTAGGTCTTCTAAATTATTGGAAAAGCAGTTTAAAAACCAGTCAAATAACCATCACCACTATTATCATTTAACTTCTTTCTGCGAGACCTTGAATTTAGGTGCCTCAATGGATGCTTGATGATTAACTCACATGCTTTGTCCATTGAAGCAGTTATTATTTAAAGGTAGGCTGTGCATTGACTTAAACTAGCTTCTTATCTGGGAGGATAAAAAGTACTTTATAATAAAGCTTTAAGTGGCAATGATGCCATAGCTCATGTCTATTGTGGTAAATACAGAAGTTAGTTTATAAGACTTTGATACACAGAATATTAAAATCACAAAGAGATGACTGGATAATCATAATCAAATAAATAAAAGTATGGTCACCGTATTATATAAAATATATTGCCACAATGAAGCCCATCCAGGGAAATGCAAAGAAACGCACCCATATGCGTTCCAGGACTTAAACATCCTACAGTGAGTGGCTGAAGGGCGTTTTGCTTTTTCATGGAGAAAAGACTGCAAAGGGATTTGAGTGAAGTCTTCAAAATCCTCAAGGACACTGACAAAGGCAATCCAGTGAACTTCTTCAGACCCACCATGAAACACAAAACAGAGCACAAAGGTGGGCAGTACTGTACACAGAAGTGCTTTACAACCAAGAACAGGAGGCACTTCTTCAGACAAAGGGGGGTGGGAATGTATTTCAAACTACCGAGCCACGTTGTTTAAGCAGATACCCCATCTTCTTTCAGAGTACAACTGGACGAGAACATTGGATCAATTAGCTAATTACCAAATGGGCTGAAAGGCTTTCTCTTCTTCGCAACCTCTCTTTTGTTGGCAAGAGTGAATATGCTGGATTTATACATTGGTCTTATAGCAGGAATGGCTCTTTCAAAAAATACTGTATAATTCATTTTCTGAGAGTACTTTTATATAAACCATGGGCAGGAAAGTTAAAAATCTTTTAACTTTAATAAGAGTCCAAACACCATTGATTTGTGGCCTTCTTTATTATATATGTTTAATTATTTAATTTTTACAATATACTGTATATGTTCTTAAAGCACCAAAAATAAAACATCCCTCTGCTACTCCATTGTAAAATATTTTAAGTGTCTAACATTGCACAGGTCCAAATAACATTTCCCCTTTGAGACCACATACTATAAGCATTTGTTTTAAATGTTCAGCATGCTCAAGATTTAACATTCACTTAGGGATCTACATGAAAGTCTGGTGATGATGTTTCTCTCGGATTTATCCTAATCACTTTTCTTTTCCAGAAGCGTACATCTCATTTTGGGAAACTCCAAGCTAATCTGGAGTTAAGATAAGTTCATAAATTGCATCGACTTCACTTCACATTGGCTATAGATCAAACAGAAGAATCAAGACCTCAGGCACATGAAAGTGTCCAAAGACTTGCTTACCAAATCAACCAAAACAAAATGAAAGAAAAGAAAAGCAAGCTCTTTCTGAGAGCCACACTTGTCTGTGGATGCCCTATGTTAAAAGAGGAACATGCAGATGTGTTGGGAGTCGTCTGATTATTGGCACAGCATTACACAGGTTTAAAAATGGCTCAGAAGATGAATAAATGGTGTATGACAAGAAACATCAATAGCATTCCAACCATGTAAAAATAAATCTTACATGCGTACAATACATTTACCGCAAAGCCTTGATAATTGCCATGTTAATAATAACCTTGATGATAAATCAACCAAAGAAATTGGAGTTACAAGTGTCTGTGTACGAAACAGGCTCGACAACATGGACGGTGGCTAATTCGATGACAATCAGTAGGTCTTTGTGTTTCTCTCTTCAATTGTCTGGCCTCCAGATGTCACGTTATTACACGCCAGTAAAACGAACAAATAAGAAATCAACACTGGAGGCTCAGACTAAATCGAGAAAGGAACCTTGACTTTGAGGTCCTGCAATTAACTGATTCAATCAACACTCTGAAGAAAAACTATAAATGGACGAAGCATTTCACTGCACCAACACACACCTCAAGACCCATCTGGTCAATGGGCAAAGTGTAATGTTATTTATCTTCCAACCTCATTCAAAAGGCAGCAATGGGCTGAGATTAAATGTCACAAAAACATACAGGACAAAAAGGTTGACTTGAGCCACAAGTCCACCAGAAAATAAATTTTCATTGCTCAGTTAGAGGAGCATTGAAAAGTTAGGTCACCATCTCAAGGCTGGAGGACTAAAAATAGTTTTCAAAACCATGTTAAAACACAAGACTCCAGCTATAAGTACAGATCTATCCCTCCGCACTTTATCAAAACTAGGTTTATGGATAAAAAAAATATTTTATCACTGTTAGTTCAAATTTTCTTATTCTGAGTTGGACACATACAAATGCAAATGTCAGGCTTACATACATGAATACACACTGGAAAGTAGAGACAGTTTAGCTGTTAAACTATGACTCCATATTACAAAAGATATTCTGCACTTTTACACTAGAGAACAGCACATGGTAAAAAAACCTGTATAGGCACACATCAATACAGAACAACAAAGGAAAACAAGCAAGATGAGGAACATCCTGTAATTAAGAGACTAAATGGTATCTCGAGAGAATTCAAGCTTTTCAGTTGTGTTCTGGTGATTAACTGAAAACCATGCATTCTAGTGCAACCACAAAGTATGGTACATTTATGTGAAAGCTGTGTGATTTCTGTGCAATGTTCTTCTTTAAAAACCAGGATGCACCATGTCTGATAAATCACTGAACAGCAAACCTACTGAAATACCATACCTGATACCTGAGAGACAGTGCTGGGCAGACTCTCGCCCACACACACACCCTGTTGGTCCAGAAAGGATTAATCAAATGTAATAAAACAAGCAGTGTAATTAAATGCGGACAAAATCAAATGAACCAATTAAGGGAGCAAATACATTTTGCAGAGGGGTATTTCTTACATCGAAAAACAAAGCCCAGTTTATTCCTGAGCTTCCCAACAAATTGCATCTAAGAAATCACATTTTGTGCCTTTTTTTAAAGTCAATAAAATGCAACCTTGTGGAATGCACCTTCCCGAGTTCTCCGATAGGGCCCAACTAACACACTCCTCTGTTAAAACGACTCTCTTTCAGGACCAAGTACAACTCCTAGTTTAAAATAACTGGAAGGAAAATGATCAAAGAAGGATCATGTTTAAGTACTGTACAGTACATGAAATTAAATGATGTGAAATTCCAATATTTATGGCCAACTTGTTTATGGTCATTACATAACCTTGTGGCATTTTTATAACGCATCTTTTAAATATAATTACTGTGCTGTTCCAGCAAGTGGGTGTAGATGGAAAAGTACTTTGCATTTTCAAACAGAGTGTTGGGTAACGGCAGATAAGAAACAAGGGGGAAAAACACAAAACAAAAAAGTTCTGATTTTACACGGACTGCCACCTCAGTACGCTTTGCTGTAAAACACAAACCTAATTTTTTTATGAAGAACTGCCACAAGCAAAACATTAAATTTAAATTTAATAAAAGGGCATCTTTTCCTTCAACACACCTGCGACCTTTCAAATTAGACCACTAGGTTGGGAAGATTTCGCACTAATGGAAAACAAATCATTCATTCAGTCAGGGGTCTTGTTTAGAATTTTGTTCACCGTGTGTCTTTATCGTGTTTGCTGGCCTTGATAGTATGAATTTAAAAACCCATGGGCTATGGGTCTGGAAGTCCCTTTTATTAAAGGGAAGTAAAGATGACTGCCAGATTTTTCATTTCTCAATTTTAAAAGCCTTTCTTATCAAAATCACACACCGCACAAAGAGATTCGTTACAGTGACAACTGTGTGAATGTCACGCAAGACAATTGAGGGAATTGAAACAAAGAAGCTAATACAATACTAAAACATTTAAGTGAACTTAACTTTCTCCACTGTTGTGTCGAATATAAAATGTCATGTAACAGCTGGTTGAAATCTTAATTGTTTTTAATTATCTAATAGAGATAACTTGAAATTAACATTTTAAAACCAAATGCATCTATAGACAAAATTAGAAGTCCATAGTAAAACAGTAAAAAAAGATATTAAAGGTTTATTACTACTTTCAATGTTTCATTTATTTATACTCCAGCAAATGATATTTTTCAAATGAATACTATTTCACAAAATATCACATGTACCCAAGTGTCAAATGTCATGTTTGCTACATTACCTAGTTAATTCCAATCAAAGTATTTAGGTTTACATAGAACATCCATATTATATGCAAGTTTAGTGCACTTTAACAGCACAGGCTCAAAATGGTACAGTTTTGGTCAAAACCTAAAAGCAATGTAGACCAAAGGTTCAAGTTGAGCCCAGATTTGTAGATTCTGTTAACCACTCTGTCTACTTCAGTCAGACGAATTTAAAGAAAAATCAGCAAACAAACTCCATGAATTTGTCCAGTTTTGTTCTTGATTAACAACTGTGGTACTACAAGGGTTTAACAAATGCACAGTGAACAATAAACTAGATAATCAAAAATCATTCAAAAAGGGCACGAGTTACCTCATTTAAAAGGCTTCTCTTGCTAAAATATGGCTTCGAGCCAAAGCACCAACCACCATGTTCCCTAAATAACTGAAAACCCGATAAGAATCACCGTTAAAGTCAAGATGAGGTAGTTCTTTGAAAACCCCTACAGATACACACAGTAATCTAGCAAGATGCTTCTTTTTTTCTTAGAAAAGCAGCGATTCTGTCCACTGCTTGCTGAAATGCATTTTCACCTTGTTCACTTCAAGATTCCTTCTTTCCAGATATGCAGACAATAAGGGGACAAAAGCATCGCAATGGTTTTGACAAAATCACCTTCAGCTTTTGGTTCCTATTGCGAATTTATTCCTGTAGTGAGAGAAAGCTATTTACGCAACAGTTTTTCTAGGGTTTCAAACCACTCATACTGCTTTTTTCTGAATTAAAAAGCCAACTCAGGGACCTCCTCAGTGGCTCAAATGGGGAAAAAAAAACTGTTGAGTGCAGGCTTAGCTGTATTACTGCGGGTTCGAGACAGGTTACTAGCCAACTGCAACCAGGATTCTGGAAATTGCAGGAGAGGCAGGTAGAGCAGGATTAGTCAGCTAGGTCTCTCTTGGCTCTTGGTGACACAGCACCCCTGGTGGCCTCCCAGGCACATACAGTGCTGCTAGTGAGGGATGCGTTTCTCCTCCAATCAGCATCATTGTTAAATGCCGAATGGCAGAAAGGTGGGCGTGTCTGGATAATCAGCCTACACCTTCTCATTCATCCCTGTGTGCCATCCCTGGTATCTGGAGAGAGGAACATTAAACAACACACTAATACTAACCTAAAACCAAGAAAGTCCACTGCCAGGACATGTGTGCTCTTGAGGAATCTACACCACCAGTCTTTGAAATGACCATTAATACACAAACTGTCACTGTCGATTTCGGATTAGGGTGCTAGTAACATCTGGAGTGCAGCCGTTTGTTATTCTCTTTCGCGGAGGCTGTAAGGCAGTGAAGATCAAATTTAAAATCCAATGTCATCAATTAAAAGAAAAACCGGGAGCTAAAGGAAAGGCTCTTGTGCGTCTGCAGCGGACATCACCCCCCTGGCGCGATTTCTCACTGCCGCTTGCTGTCCAGCAGGGCTCTCCAGTCGTCCTGCCAGGAGTGGAGCCTCCTCCGCCAGCGGCAGGCCGGCAGGTGCTCGTTGTGGCAGGCCGTGAACAGGACGTGCTCCCAGGCCGGGTGGGGCTCGGCGCCTGCGCGGACGACAGTTTCAGACAGACGTTTCGCCGCCTTCGGCCCAAGCAGACCGGGAAATTCAAAACCGTCAAAGGTCGCTTGAAACTACCAACTCGCAGGGAGCTGCTTTACACTTCGTCCTGCCTGGATAACGTCACGGGCATTAGTACCGTCATGGCTGTATATGGAAAATTAAGGTTTACACGACAACAAAATCCATGACGGACTGGAAGACTGTTCCAAAATGTTTTACATATGTTGGTGAAACAAGCTGAGTGATTTCTCAATGACACAGGCCGTGGAGTGCCTGCCTTTCAGAACGATCCCCTCATATTTTGACCGGTTAAGCGATACATTCAAAAAGGAGACCTTCTGTATTGTATGAGCGGGTTATTTAGAGTTCTGAGCTAATTCACAACAAAATATGTGTCCATTTAATAAGCTTCGTGTAGTTGAAAACCCAAGGAACAAAAGCTCAACACCTGAAAAATTGATTTCAGATAAAAAAGCACCGCTAGTTAAAGAGGAACAGAAATATTAAAAAGTTTTTAATTACATATTCTGTGCGTGACTTTATACACAAGAACAGTGCAGGTAGGAAAGAATACACTCTACCTTCATGAGGGCATTACTGTTTGAAGGCAAACAGCCAGATTCGCAATGTTTATCAAAACAAAGCAGCTGTTCTGCGGTGTAGAATGGAAATATTGTGGGATACAGCCACAGAGAAACTCCACAGGCTCCAAGGTGGCTATTTGCACAAGGTTTTAGATGCAAAAGCAAATAATCAGGTTTAAGGGTCTGCACATCTGAACCAAAGACTGCGGTAATCAAAACCGCAGGAGACATACATTCACGTTAAGTTTCCCGGCTTTTCAAAAAACCTTTTTTTTCCAGTTTACCTGAGATATCTGGCTTGTCGTCTATGAGAAGATCTGCGCACACCACCGTTTTATCTCTTGTTAGTATGACCTTCTCCAGAAACTCGCACCCTAGATGCTTCTCTATCCAGGCATACTGAAGGAAAATGAAGTTATCCATCTTAACAGAGTACGTGCATGGTCGTGCAATTCTATTCAAGCAGAATTAGTGTCCAGCCAACAAATTAAGTTGAATGAGAATTAACATTATTAAACATTTGAGTACTAGTTCATTTCCTTTTTGTGCTAGTACAACTATCATAAATACTACAATAAAGCACATATAAATAAAGAAAACATAAAAAAATGTTATAACATTGAATAGATATAATAACTAATCTTGGATACACCAATAATGCAATTAACAAGGCATTAGTAGATTCTTATTTTGTGTGGCTTACAGTAATGCACCTAAAAAGGAAGAATTACAATAAATTTTATGCTGAAAAAATAAGGATGAGCATGCTTGATAGTACTAAAGGTGGAATACATACAAGGCTAAACGTACCTTTTCATAAGGACAGTGGTTGTAATTGTTAATTGGACTGGTGCAAATAAAAACATCTGTGCTGAAAAAGAATAAAATATACAATGTGTAAGAAATGAAACATCTGTCATCACTCTATGTGTTAAAATTAATTCAGCTACAAGAAAGAGAACCACTGCTTATAAGTTGGATGTCAGCTGTCCTGGAATAGACTTTTTTGGCTCAGAAACCCTGCTTACGTCATGATAATTAATGTCGCCGTCGAAAAAAAAACGAAACAAGGAACAATCGGGGCAGACAGGAAAGGACTGGAATTGACTTGGACCACCAGGACCACAACCCTCAACCCAACCCACACTTGGGCAAGGTACTTCACTGGTGGAGCCACTCATTGGGGCTTTGGGTAGCACACTTTGTGTAAAGGCAAATGCATGCCTAGGGTGTACAAGAGGAAAGGGACAGAGTTCCAAAAGAAAACACCTGCAACTTAATAAAAAACACACTTCACCATTTGACAGTTTGCAGGGCTTCAAACAGAGACCACACACGTTACTAGCCTGTAACAGACCTGACTTTCTTGGTACTGTAAGTGTCAGTGTACCTGCTGGAAGAAAAAACATCTTTCCTGATGATAGCTTAATAAATCTGTAGCAAGGACAAGTGATCCTTTCTTTTGACTTTCAGTGGATTTATGTATAGGGATCAAAAGCTTCATTAAAAAAAAAGACTTACTTTTCAAGCTTGGACATCTCCTTCACAGCTACCACAGCACCGGGAAGAGGCTCCAGGTCTATAAAGAAGTTCTTAGTTTCCCATATGCTGATAGCCTTCTCCTGCAAACAATGAGGTCAACTCAGTGTCTATTTGCTAAATGTGACTGGCAGTATACAGGGCCCCTGTGGAAACCCTGTGAAACCCAGTACAAAATCTCAGGAGTTGACTTCTTAAAAAAACAAAACGCTAATGATTAAAAACCTGAGAAATTCCTAGGACGTCTCAAAAACAATCATTATTGCTGTGAAATAAATGTTTCAGGCCTGGAAACCTATTGATGCACAAGGCTTAAAAGAGAAATCAGATTCTAAACTGGTTTATTCATTGTTTCGGTTGTATCAAATGACACTAATTTAAACTCCCACCGAGACAACCTTGAAGATTGTTAATTGTTGCTACAGTATGTCCGTTAACTCTGTACGCCTTTCAAGTGCTAAGTACACTGAGGTATAAAACATCAAATCCCATGCGAGAGTCAGGATCTGTATTTAAAAATACACCTTTTTCCCCATAATAAAAACTAAATCGATGACCCTGTATAAACAAGGCTAATTTGTATTATCTGCTCACTTTCACTAAAAATCACATTTACCATGTCTTGATTTTTTTCATTCTAAATGAAACATATCATTAATGGGCCTACTGACTTTCACAGACACTACTGTACATCTGTTTACTAATAATGATAGTGATGGACGGATATTAACAGGACATTCCTGGTGCTGTTAATATCATTTTAGTACCAAACCAGAGACTGACAAGTCAGCTGTTCTGTCATAGAAGTATGATAATGACTTCTGTTATCAATTAAGATGTTCCTGATCTTTTATATTGAGGATTTGTGCAGCTGTTTTTTCTTCATAACAGAGACCTCTGCTGACTTAGGAAATAGCAGAGCAACTCCATTATTAGCACTGAGAAGACAGGCTAGGTTAATACTGTTGGCAGAGCTCTAAAGCAAAAGTCTCTTGATTATCACAAAGGACAACTTCTGATTTTTTCTCGGAATTAGTTGCCGAAACAGGTCAATACAACAAGACATCAGATTTTGTGCAGTTTTCTTTGTACAGTAAGTTTATTTCCCTCCCCCCCCCCATCACCAAGATGGGTAGAAGGGATTCCTATTCCTGTATTTCACGTTTTACCATTGATATGCAACTATTTTTGTTCAAATATAATCTTGATTAAAAAGATACCATGGAGATGAAGATCACAGCAGAAGCGATACCTGTACAGTAAGAGGAACCAACCCTGGTCCTGAAGAGCTCTAGTCCAGCAAGGTTCCTAGGTAGCCATCAAACTAGCAGTTAAAAGATAGTTGTACGAAAAGGTTAATTTTGAAGTCCTTAGTCAGCTGCTTAGGGAGCTTGCTTGTTGAGAGTAGGCACAGCATCCTGAGAGGTTAGAGGGGTCAGAGGATTAACTCTGGGAATGTATTCACCTGGCTTCATTTAAGGCCTAATGAGTCCATCGCGTTTTCTGGCCTTAAAAAAAAAAAGTATTAAAGAATCAAACTTTTGCACATGCCTCATTACTCGTTTTATTTTTTTTTCGACCTGATAAAAGTAAGCAAACAAAAGAGTAATTGTGCATTAAAAAGTGCAGAAATTGGTCACGTTTAGGTTTGTACCCGGCAGAGGTTGAAACATGCAATTTGATCAAAAACTTCGGCATATAACTATTTAAGTTACGCAGGTGATTTATTAAATTAGGTAATTTAGTGATCATTTTGGGCTGCGGTCCAAATATTCTTCAATCCTCAAAGCCCAGATATCTCAATTTAGCAGAATACTTTTTAAATTGATCACTGTGGATAACACTTGTTAATTCCTCTTTAGAAACTGCCGGTCCGTAAAATTAACTGGACTGGTGTTCTCCGGGACCAGGGTGTGGAGATTCCCGCTGTACAGCATAGAGCAAAACGACATTCAATGGAAGATTAGAATTGAGATCTCACATTAAGCACGTAATGTGTTGAAACTCAAATTAATCCTACCCATGCAGGTGACATGTAATCGCACACCTGTCTCTTATGTACAACTCTTACTTAATTACTTCTGAAATACTTCACACTTTGCTTAAAGGAATGCTTAAGCGTGTTCTTTTTTTTTTTTATTTCGCCCTGAAAGACCTAAGAGACATTTTTAACACGAGACATTTTCTAAGGAGACTTTTTAGGGGAAGTAAGGTAAACAGAAATGAATTTCGAATAAAAAGCACTGCAGAAACACCAGGCGTGAGTTCACCAGTGCATGTCGTCACCTGCAGGAAATTCTTTGAACAAAGTTTCGGATTTCTTAGCCTGCTGAAATTTCACTTACCGAGTACCGATTTTAGCTCCGACTGCCAAGCTGAAACTGCCTCAGGCGTCTCATACACATGCTCAAAATATATATTTTTTTATTTTACGAAAATATATTCCATATATTTTCCTCCTGGTGCAAGCGTAACGACGTGTTAAGTAATAAAAATACGAAATGATTTGGAAATACGTTACAAAACGTGCATTTATTCACACTTACGCAGAGATCGCTCCTCAGGTGTCCGTACTGGGTTGAGACCCAAAATCCCCTGCGATCCTCTAAAGTAATGTAAGGCTCGTTAGGATACCTGGCCCTGAATTTCTTTAAAAACCCTCCTTCGAAGTCTGCAATGACTCCATCCATATCCACTAAAACACGCAGCCTTTTAGGAAAGGAAACCGGCATCTTTTCTGCAGGACCAGCAAGCCACCTGAGCTGCGTAGGTTTCAGAACATGTTCCACCTTTCGCAAGGGTAAAATTCGAGGCAATAAAATCATGTTAATTATATATGTAAGGGGCAACGACAAGAGTGTCCAAAGGTCCACCTGGAGCCAACAAGCAAACCGCACAACTGCAAACAAAATTGAGTTGCATTTAAATTGGGGGGTATACCTAAAACTTAAAAACCGAATGCAAAATATAGAAGGGCATAAACAGGTGTCGGTCTTTTTTCTTATGTGCAGCCCAGCGTTTTACACCTGCCTCCGGGACCTCTGCCAGCCCCGCTTGCATGTCTTCAAGGGGTGCTTGATTCGTACAAGTACTTCAACTGGGCAAAATGGAGTTAATCTCGGCTAGTTCCCCACTGCCTGTCCGTGCCCCTCTCTGCACATGTGGCCTTCTTCACAACAGTGCAATTTATCTCTGGTAGCTAAGCAACTATTTCAAAGAGCCAGGCCCGCAGTAGTAAAATGCCATGCCGCCCACACACCCCGGACTGCAAACCAGTCCTGCCGCAGATCACTCCCTTTTGGGAAAAACAAACCCCACCTATAACCCGGTAGTACTAGCCTTCCCGTGTTTTGGCCTCCTTTCACTCTTAAAGGAAAACGTGACCGAAGAGAGATTAAAAAAAATAAATAAAACACGCCATAATGTCTCGGGCAGTAAAATAAGACATATAATGGAAATGTGTAAAAAAATTAATTGTTCAGCTTTTATAATTGTGAATTCCTCTGGTTGCGCAGTGTCTATTTCTGTATCAGTTTTAATATCTTGTCTCCTTTTTTTGTATTTCTGAGGTTTAAATAAAAATTTAAATCTAAGCAATAGATGTTGTCTATTTTGAACATTTATTCAATGCAGCTATAGAGGTTAAACAGGGTATTTACCTATTAAAAGCGCAACGTTAGCATTTCCCCAGGCCTTTCTGTATTGTGCTTTGCAACCGATAAGACATGTTTTTACAGCAATTAAAAAAACACCCACACAGCCTCTGGGAACCTTCAATCCCCCAGCTAACTATGATTTTCCCAGGACAACATGATTTTCGCCACCATGGACCTGTAAAGACTTTCAAGATAAGGGAGTTCCAAGCTTTTGAAAAAGTTCTGTAAAGGAAATACTTTATTTGGGGAAATTTGACTTCCCAGATTTCAACAGCATTCGTGGTGCTGCTTGACTGTCATTGCACAGACTTAAAAACAAAAGTTTTAACGAAAACGGTCGGCCGGGAAGGCTGGAGGGGAGCGACCGTTGGAGACGGAACGCGCTGGCGCCTGTAGCTTTAAGGGCGCGGGCGGCTCGTGCCCTGAAATCCCGGCAGCAGCGGCAGTCCTCGAGCCTCTCGCGATATTTCCCGTCAGTGGCGGCTCTGTGGGCCCCCTCACGCTGGGCTACTCCTGACATTTGAATGAGAACAGATTGAGAACGACAACCCCGAAAACGGCAGAAGGCAAGAATGGCTTCAGCTCTGGAGCAGTTCGTGAATAATGTTCGGCAGCTTTCGGCTCAGGGTAGGTACAGCGGCTGGCCTCCCACCCCCAGAAGCTGTTAGTAATTATTAATCCTTCAGCTGCAGCACGGAGCCTGCATTTTTTTTTTTTAAAAATGCTTTATCATGTAAACAAGTCTGGCTTTTACGCGAGTCTCGCAGTCCTTTCCGTTTTCAGCTCTTGGCAAAGCTGTATTTTGAACGGGTGCATTAAAGCAAAGATAGACGCTTAACGACAAAACATGAAAAGGCAGTTTTGTTCCCCTTTTTCCTTGAGAAAATGTTTCTAACCGTATGTCGACAGGTAGTTCCTCCCAAGTGGGCTTTTATTGGATTAGCTGTTGAAAGCGCTGCTGTGATTGGTTGCTTGTCCTGTCACTTACCCGGTGGGGGGTTACTTCCGGTGATAAATGTGTGCAGGCCTCATGCTGGTTAATGTCATAACATACAGTACCTGTAACGCAGCTAAGGAGCAGCACTACAAATCGTACGTTTCTTTATAATTAAGATGATGAGGCGACCATTAAATACGCTATTTCCCGGTTACTAGGTTTATGTAAATGGTAACCTGTCCATCACAACCAGTGACAACCCAGTAAAACTAATTTACCAGTTTCAGGTCTGTACATGCAGGCATGTCATGTCATCAAACCTGCGCTATAAACAGATGCCATGTACCCATTTCTAGATGGTAGTTGTGTGTGTCTGAAAAAAATGAATCGGTGCTTTCTGTCTTCAAGAGGTTTTATTTGAAAGTGTCTCTAAATGTCACTAGAGAATGGTGCTGCGTTTGATTAACAGGGGGTTTGATAAAGCCAGCACGTCCCCTGTTCTCTGTGATTTCGCTGTTGTGAAAGTAAAGCTGTCAGCATGTTCAGCACCTGCCGTAATGTTTAATTAAGATCACAATAAAAGGGAGTGTAAAATTTAGACAGGATTTTAAATCTAATTACCCGTGCTACTAAACCGCTATGAAGAAATGGGTACCTTATTTTGATTTGAATCTGGTATTAGCAGATGAGGCTGTGTTTTATCCTTTTCAGTACGTCCTGCAGTCGTTCACAGCTTTAAAACGGAGTGACATTTTCTCAAATTCTCTACATAAAAAAATTCGTAGCTTCTATATTAAGAGGCCGTAGCGTAGTTGGGAAGTGAGCAGAAATATTGTGCGATAACTAATTTCAAATCAAGAGGCTCTGTCCTTTCAACGTCCCCAAGCTCATGAATCGTGACCTGTCAATTGCACCCGGGAAGCATTTCATTTTGATTCGAGTTCCAACACAAATGTTAGAGCAAGCAAAACTGGCGCAAAGGTAAAAGTTCTGAAATTGATCGTATTTTTACAACAAGCACAAAACACCCCACGTCGTGCACTGAGCCCAAACGTGCTTTTCTGTGTAGAGTAATTTGGCGAATGTCGTGGATGTTTTTCAGGTCAGATGACACAACTGTGCGAATTGATAAATAAGAGCGGGGAGCTGCTGGCGAAAAACCTGTCCCATTTAGACACAGTTCTTGGGGCGCTGGACATACAGGAGCACTCGCTCGGTGTTCTTGCAGTCCTGTAAGTTTGCACTTCGACAATGACGCAGAGACGGGAATATTATGTTTGATTTTCCTTTAAACGCCAATAGGACAATAAGTCCAAAAGGGAATAATTATCTGGGCAATAAGTGAGTTAGTTTAGAACCGGGATCTCAAATAGAGGAGTGTTCCAGGAGGGCCTAGTGCATTTTAGTTTTTGTTCTAATCGTCTCCACAGTTACATAGATGATCTAATTATTCAATTAGCTGCATAATTGTAATATAGTACTTCTAATCAGGCTGTGAGCTGATTTCTAGGTAACTATACCTGTAAGGACAGTAAAATATTTTGTGTATGTCTAATACACAATACACAATAGAAAATAATGAGGTTAATTGACTATATATTTTGGAACAAGAATCATAAGACGCAAGACCTTTGATGAGCTTGGTTTGAGAGCCCTGGCTGAAACTGAGTATTGACGATATTACGAAGACGAGTCTGTCTATGAAAGCAGCCCTGTGGGATTCAACAGGTCCCCAAGATGTGAATTGAAATTGATTCCAGTTTTGGATTTCTTTCATTTTAACTCCTAACAAGTCACACCTAAGGTATAGAATCTATTAGATGGCTTGCCTTTTTAATTGGCCCAGGTTCAATGTGAAGGCGGCTGAAACAGCCTTCAAACACGTTTTCCTGGTTTTGTGATTTTTCTTTTCCCTACGTGTTGCAGATTTGTCAAGTTTTCCATGCCAAACATCCCCGATTTTGAAACGCTATTCTCGCAGGTTCAGCTCTTCATCAGCACCTGCAATGGAGAGCACATCAGATATGCAACAGACACTTGTAAGTCTCTACATGTGCTTTAGATTAAGTGTTAGTCAGACTCTTCTAATTTTGTTCTAGTATGAGCCACGTTGTTCCTTTGTTTTTGTCTTGCAGTTGCTGGCCTCTGCCATCAGTTAACAAATGCTCTCGTAGAACGGAAACAGGTAAATCAGAAACGGATGAAGATGTATACAAAATATCACAAATGAGACAGCTTCATTAACATTGAAATTGAGCAACCTTTCTACAGGGCTGTTTATCCAGATATTAAAGCATGTATTAAACGCTTTTCGATATTATCACATTAGTACAAATTTATTTTAGATCATCTGTCCAAATGTTATTGCTCTTATGTGTTGTCCAAGTATACTGAAACTTTATTTAACACTTCTAACTTCATCTGTTTATTTCACCACAGCCACTAAGGGGAGTTGGCATTCTAAAGCAGGCAATAGATAAAATGCAGATGAACACAAACCAGCTTACCTCAATTCATGCAGACCTCTGTCAGGTAGGTAAGCTCCTACAGTGTGACAGATTTGCACCAGATTCACAAATTATGTCCTTTTGTTTTGTTTTTCAAATACATATACTGTAATAACGTTTCTACTTCCAAAGAAAGAAACGACCGAAACTCATGTTTTTCGCTACCACTGATTGCTAGAAGAATATTTTTTAACACATGCCTCTATCAGGTGATCAGTCATTTCTCCTACAGATCTTTACGATTTAAATTATAATGTCTAGATCTAAATACCATTAGGAAGAGAAGTTGCCTATGGGGTCCAATAGCTGGAGGGATTTTGTGTTGAAAGTGATGAGCTCATTTGAGTTGCAGGCTACACTAACCTGTGGTTTTCCTCCGGTGCCCTTTGCTTCACAGCTGTGCTTGTTGGCGAAGTGTTTCAAGCCTGCCCTTCCATACCTTGAACTGGATATGATGGATATCTGTAAAGAGAATGGTGCCTATGACGCAAAGCACTTTCTATGTTACTACTATTATGGTGGCATGATCTACACGGGACTGAAAAACTTTGAAAGGGCTCTCTATTTTTATGAACAGGTAACTCCCCTTCAAGCACCCAGAATAGCTTTATTATTGTCAATGTGAAGAGACGGAGGTCTGTGTGTTTTTTTTTTTCTGATGACAAAAGAAATTTGATTTGAGGAAATGAGTGAATTAACCACTCAAATCATAAACTGAAAACCGCAAGAATTCTGTGAGGCAATGGACATGGGTGGCATTAATGTGACAAAAGGTTGACAAAAGATGTCAAAAGCTGACAGTCATAATGTTATGTTGTCTTCACAGAGGGTTTTAGTTCTTTCTTTTTACAACCTCTAACAGCATACTTGGAAAAGGTCAGAAATATTTGTCTATGAGCATGATAAAGGTAGAGAAGGGCCCCGATTGTATTTATGGCATCGCTGTAATGTGTACATGCACCTACCCTGTGTTTTTGTTCAGGCTATAACCACTCCGGCCATGGCAGTCAGTCACATTATGTTGGAGGCTTACAAAAAGTATATTCTGGTTTCCCTCATTCTCCATGGCAAAGTTCAGCAGCTGCCCAAATACACGTCACAGATAGTAGGCCGGTTCATCAAGGTAAGAAATACATTTGTAAGCTTTGTATCGCAGCGCTGGCGAAGTAATGCAAAGAGTAACGCTGTCATAATAAGTTGTAAAAAGTATAAAATTCAAATACTTAAGATGATACAGTGCATTGGTAAAACCTTACTTAGAATATAGATATGAAAAGCCTGACAAATACTGGGAATATATATATATATAATACATAATTCTGGGAAGGTTTTTGGTTCCCACATTACAAAATAGGATATTGCTCCGGATTCTGTTCAAAGATGGGCAAAGTTAATATATGGCTTTAATGTAATATGTTACACAAATAGGTTAAAAATGAATATCTTTAGTCTTGAACAGATGAGAGTTTGGTGTCACTTGAAAGAAGTGTTTATAATGCCGGAAGATCGTGGTAATTTGAAAATGAACAATCTTAAGAAGGATCCCATTATAATCCCATAATGCCCCACTCAAGGGGACAAATAGCAATGCACAATCACTTAAAAAAGAAATAAGATTTGACAGTTCCTATAAATTTCCTATTAATGTTAAAATATGACTATTTGGGACTATAACAGTCATTCTTCCTAGTTCAGTGTGAAAACTGATAGGATTTTAATAGAGAGTAGATAAATCCTTTGCGGATGGCATAACTTTACCTGATTTTTTTTCTTTTAGCCTCTGAGCAACGCCTACCACGAACTTGCACAAGTGTATTCAACTAACAATCCAGCCGAGCTTCGGAACCTTGTGAACAAGCACGGTGAAACATTTACACGAGATAACAACATGGGCCTCGTCAAACAGTGCCTGTCGTCCCTGTACAAGAAGAACATTCAGAGGCTAACAAAGGTAAGAGACTGAACCAAGGCTGACATGCGGGAAATTCACTGTTTCTGCCAACCAGAACTAAACTAAAATGTAAAACTGGAGGCCGTGAAAAAAGCTCAATAAATCTCACTTGCTGTACCTACCTTTCATCCTGCAGACCTTTCTGACCTTGTCTTTACAAGACATGGCAAGCAGAGTACAACTGTCTGGTCCACAGGAGGCTGAGAAGTACGTTCTTCACATGGTAAGAACATGATACGTGTAGGTGGGATTTTAATATGAGTCTTTTGGGTGTGTGGCTTTTTTTCCCCAAGATGGGAGGTTAAGAAGTCGCGTTTGTGCTTGTTGATATCCTTTGAATGTCAGTCCTGCAATCTGTTTTAGTTCTTTCAGTGGAACTAGAAAAATAGAAATAGAAATTTTAGTGGTCAGATGCTTCCCTGAAGTTCTGCCAGGTGTTGGACAGCATAATGATAACAACCATATCAGTTACTTGGGCTGTATATGTTGGATCAGGTGGATCACTTATAATTTAAACTATTGGATTCTCAATGTTTTACTGTACAGGCAGTAATACACAGTCAATTTTGATGCGTACACATGAATAATTTTTTACATGCTTTATTACTGTCTGTTACCTGTGTAGTAAAATGTGAGTTTGTGTTATATACATTTAAATGCTCTCCTGCTTACAGATAGAAGATGGTGAGATTTATGCCAGTATTAACCAGAAAGACGGAATGGTCAGCTTCCATGACAACCCAGAGAAGTACAATAACCCTGCGATGCTTCACAAAATTGATCAAGAGGTACGAATAACTGAGTGGTGAACAGTCAAGGTCATCTTAATGAATACAATCATTCAAACAAAAACATTGTTTGAATTTGGGAACTTGAAGAGGGTCTGCAGCAATGTCAGTATTTGAAAATCAACATATTTTATGATGCCAATTCTGCAAGTAAGGCAGTGACGTTCAGAGTAAGTTGAATGTTAGTAACTGACTTTTAAAGTCGGTTTTCACACTTGAAACTTGTTTTCATTTTAGATGCTGAAGTGTATAGAACTGGATGAGAAGCTAAAATCCATGGATCAGGAGATCACAGTTAACCCTCAGTTTGTACAGAAGGTATGAAAACTGTTTACCATACTGTGTACACTTGAATTCAGAATGATCTCCTCTTAGGTGCAGATTGCCAGTGAAGTCGTCATTCAAAATGTATGCTTAACCATAGAGAGTTTTACATCTCATGCTGGCAGAGGTTTCTCTGGCAAAGCCAAAGACAAACCAGAGTTTTGCATATGTGGATTCTTCCTCTTCATAAAGGATTATTCCTGCTTTTAAGAAATATAGAGTAAAATATAGAAAAACCAAGACTTTGAGCAAAAGCTGAGCTTGAGAATTTACATCACTGTTTGCAACATACAGTACATGTTTGAATTGGAAAATTTAAATTTCTAGGCATTGAACTGTCTGGCCAAGACTTGTATGGGGGTCACCCACCATTCTTTTTGTAAAGAAGCACCCCCCTGTTAACAATATGTCTCATGATCTGTTCTGGCAAGTCATGAATGTCATTTATTATCATTTTGTTTCATTTGTTTTTTGAGTGGCTGATGTTAAATTTGACCTCAAAAGCATATAATCACAAAGACCAGCCTTGCAGTCATTGAGTCATGTTGAATATTAAACTGCTGAGAAAAAAGGCAAGATTATTAGAGAACAGTGTTTTGGGTTAACTGCACACTTACCTGATGTTTAACAAACAGGCCTAATTCCTGATAAACAAGTAAAGAAACAGTATTTATTCCACAAGTCTAAGAATGCTATGATCATATTGGTATTTTTCAGAGCATGGGGTCACAGGATGATGATGTAGGAAGCAAGACGTCCAGTTACTCCTGAAGCAGTTAATCAGCACGGGAGCAGAACTAAATCCCACAACATCAGGTTCTTTTCAGAAGACATTTTTAAAAATGGAGGAAAACATATTGAGCCTGGACATCGTTCAAGAAAACATAAACATTTGAATAATTCATTTATGCTTTCATACAATGTCTGGGGGAGGGAAAAAAAGGAAGGGTTTTGTCAGTGTTTTATTTATCAATGTTCAGATGGAAGCACCATTGCTGCGTTAACAACAAAAAATAAAAACTGGACTTCCTGTTCAAATCAATCCCATGTAGTTATTTCAGAACCTTGTATGAAACGCAAGGTCCTACTAATTTGCTTCTTTTTTTTTCTGATCCAATGTTCTAGAATTGAGTAATAAGCTGGGGGAGTTTAAAGTACCTCATGCTACACATAGTTATTGAAACGTCAGAATCTAAAGATAGAATTTCTCCCAGACAACAGGAGACAGTTGAAGTATTGATCATGCACTTCACGCAGACATAAAACAGTCATTTCAAATGTAAACATAATAACAAATTTAAACCCCGAGCTGTCATTTAAAAATATTACTTGGGGACTTTGAGCTTTATCCTGTAAATGTTTGTGTTAAACACCCAGGGGATGATGTAAAGAATCTTGTTTTTTTTTAACTTAATGCTCCTGTATTTCATAACCTGTGAAGGTGTGATGACCTGAAGTGTCCTCAAGATAAAATTCAAATATTTCCTGGAATTAAGTGTCTCTTGTACACCACTGAGCTAAATGTATTTTTAATTGTTGACATTTTCTTACTTTTTCCATTTTGTAACTTGCTTCCGAGAGTAAGGATTACATGAACTAAAATAATTTGACACGATTCATTAACATTATGGCAGAGTTAGTTCAATGTAAATTACCTGGCCCGAAATAGGAAAAGCTGTTCTAGTTTAGTTCAATACAGGAATTATTGGAAAGTAAGCTGGAAACTCCTGATTCCAGTGCATCACCAAGCCCATAATTTAACAGATGATCAGGTGGTAGCAGGTGGGCGGACCTTTGTTACAAGTTATATAATGAGAGTAGGAATGTTCATTTGGCTTTGCCACCTTTTCAGATCACTGGATTTCTGTTCTTTTAACGGTAAAGTCATTACTGCAAGGATAGATCTTGGTTTAAGTGCTATTAACACATCAGGTTTGAAGCAGCTAACAGTTTTCAATAGCCAAAAGGCAAAATTAATCTTGCTTTCCTGCATTTGCTTATGAGCCTAGTGGTTGTTATTTACCACCAGGCAATCTGACTAAGCCAATTATTTTTAAATTAGACTTTTTACCTGAACATAAACAGTATACAATTACATAAACATTAGTTACAATAAAGCATAATGCTATGACTTGTTTTCCCTATTTCATTCCCCAACCTTTTTTAAACTACACAAACTACAAGGCTAGAGTTGCAATACTAAAGCCATCGTATTTGCTCAAGAAACTGAAACAAAATACTGTGATACCGCACAATAAGTTGCCCACTTCCCCAAGAAATGTGACGTGGGCATCTGCTTTTTACCTGAAAGCAATCAAAAACATTCAGATGGTGCAAAAATATTTTATTACTGTTATATAGATTATATAAAGTAGGGTTTTCATATTTACATAAAATGACAACTAAAACCACAAGAATCTAATAAAAAGCCACAGTTCAGTAATAAATATTGTGATGAATGATGTTCCAATCATAATTAACAATTGGCATCAAATAACATAATGAGTGGGCAGGACGAGACTATTACAGAACCATTTTTATAGTGAGAATGGCACGTCCAACATCCGATCGTTTCCTCAACTCAAAATGTATCTTGGGAGCCAGTACACTTTAAACACCAAGATGAAAAATAATACATTAAACACTCTTCTGGATAAGAGGTTATCATTGAGCAGTAACAGACTTGACCAAATGATTCCAGCAGACCAAGTTCCCCATTCCAGTGAAATCTTCTGCCTTTACATCCAACACAGAAAAAAACAAAAACTTGCAAATGGGAACCTAAGCAAATAACCGAAAAACATCTACATATTGGTACAGAAATAAGAATAAGTAACGCAAATGTGTAATTAACCCTTTAATATGAAAAGACTGCATGATTTGAATCTTTGTTTCCTAAAGGTCAAAGTTCAAATGAGTGAAGCACTACATAGGTCTGAGCATCAAAATACCGAAGTTTTAACAGTTTTGTTTTTCTAGGTTCTGATGTTTTTGTTTCAATAGTGCCAAGCTTCCATGTTTGTGGAATAATGTATGATTATTAACCAACAACTAGAGAAAGAGAGAACCTCATCTCAGGGATTCAGGTTCAATTTATGCATGATTTTGATCCAGCGGCCCATAATTAATACAGAAAAACAGCCATGTGTGCACTTGCAGGAAATGTAAACTGATGAATCTTAGCCATTCCCATTCCCCGACATCCTATAGTACTTCAATATACTGTAACATGCAGACAGTGGAGGGTTTTAAACGGACTAAACTAATGGCAAAGGAGGTCTTAAATTCAATTGTATAAAGGCAAATTCCAAACACAAAACTGCATTCTGCATTGAGCAGGCTTGTAAAGAGCACATCATAACAGGTTTGTTGGCTCATGACATTTTAAACAGTCCTAAAACCTCAAAGGATGCAGGTTAAGTAGTTCAGCAAGGCTTGTGATAAGGGGCCTAAAAAATAACCAGAAGGGATAAGATCAATCTGCATACTCTGAATCAAAACACTTATTTTCTGCACTGGCACAGCCTCAAACATTGCCATATAAAGGAAACGTGTTCCAGTGGGTCTTAGGAAGAAATCTATCTTTTGGTAGTAGACGGTTATTCTTTTAAAATAGTTAAATCAGCTTATTGATATTAGCAGCTTATTAAAAATCAGGTGCATGTAATTTATCATTTTATTGGGCTGATATTTACAGTACATCCAATGCAATCCAAATGTGGACCCAGTTATACTGGGCATTTCACAGATTCATTTGCTCGGGGTGCAGCAGCTGTGCCTCACTCAAGATTCGAACCCGCAACCTTTCATTCCTGCGTGCAGAGCCCTAAACTTTTATAAATGTATTCATTAACTTGATTTACCTTTTAAGAGGATGAGATTTCTGTTTGAATTTGTATTTCTTTTGAAATGTGTGGTTCTGCGGTGCAAATTGCAAAGCAAGAACATCCGGGAACAGAGTTTGACCTTTTGATTTCGAGCATCATTGAGGGCTGGAGACTCTTCAGTTTATTCCCAATAACTTGTGTGTACAGTCAAACTAAAAATATATATAGATATTTATAGTGCTAGTAGCAAGGATATAGATTTAAAACGGATAAAATCACAAAAACTAAATTCTGTGTAACAAATATTTACATGGCGTGCTTTGAATACTATACAGTTGTTTTTTCCGCTTGAAAGCGAGACAAAACATCTCATAACCAAGAAGCCAAGAGCCTCATGTAAGCTGAGCTGCAGTCTATACAACACCAAGTGTTCCGAAACACAGCCTTGCCATTGGTGGGATCGCTGTTGAGGCTCATTCAGCCTGTCAAGAGAGGGTGTGGGAACACAAATCTCAGTGGCTCGTGCTACTCGGGAACAGCTTCACAAAGGGACATCGGCCGCGCTAGTTTCAATCACGTTAATACCGTTTTGGTTCAACCTGATTGCACCTCACCTGGGTAATGTTGTGTTCCAGCGACACCGCAGAGAAAGTATAATCAGAATAAAACAAAAAGGAAATCATCCTTTTGGAGTTTCACAATTTCTGCCAGAGATTTCTTCCGCGGTGAGTAGCTTAATTTAGAATTTAGTTCACCAGACATTATTTTGTAGAACTACTTTTTAGTTTTATCAGCGTTAATATTATCACATTTATTTTTAAATTCATTTTTAAACATTCTACTGTAGCAATTGTTAATCATTTGATCTATTCACCTACTTTTAATGATCAAATTACTCTTTTAATATGTTTGAACAAATCTTAATTTGTTAAATCATTTCTTGGGGACAGGCCTAAATTTGACTCGACTTTATTTTTGGCATAACAGTGTATTTGTAACCCTGCAATAAAAAAAAGGCAAAATAAAGACATTTTAAGCCGCCTATGTTAATACACAGCTTTTTTGGACAGCTGAGACTCCAAAAATAATTCTGCTTCAATTCTTCTGTGTAGAAGTTAAACGGAACTCACCATAGGTGTATACTGTAGGTCACTTAAAAAAATTCGACTATGTTCACTACCATCCTTCTACACAGTACTGTGATAATTTGTTTTATTCTTCAACAAGTTGGAAAATGGGTTTTAAGAAAATTAAATGTTTTCAAAAGGTTCTGGAACATAGGAAAATGCTTTCAGGGAATACTGAGACATCCTTACTTTTCAACATATTACTTGTGTCAGTGTAATGTGAGTACTTGGCTTCTTTTGTCTGCTAGAGATATAAGTGTGTGGATATTAAATATTAAATCAATAAAAAATGGGGGAAAAGACATCCTAAAGATGGTATTCCTAGGTTTCAAGGACAAAAAAGGACATGTATCTCAGCATCTGTGATATGTTCTGGTGAGAGAGGCATGTTTGGAAATCTTTTTTGAAATTGTCAAAATATTCCCTGAAAGAAAATAAAAAGAGGAAAATGAAGGACTGCTTTTTAATCAAGGAACTGCAATCCTCACGTGGTAAGTGGGAAATATCATCTGTGTATTGCAGAAGGAAGCCTTCATTTGAAAGGTAGCATCTTCCACACTGGTGATGTGTGTGAGAGAGCATGGATACAACTATCTCTGCTCTGCTAAAATGACAACCAGGGAACAGATTATTCACTCTCCTATCTTCCCAATCCAGAATGAATAGTTCACGGCAATATTGCTACTACTTCCAAAATACACATACTTATGTACTAAATATTTGAAATTCTTCCCAGCACCCTTGTTATCAGTTAAACTATGTGACATTATAACCCAAAATATGGTCACAAAATACTTCCACAACTTCTCAAATCTTTTAATTACCTACTTAATTTTGTTTTTAGAATTATAGAAAACATCTGAATGCAATAAGCCTTTATTTTTAACTTTTAATGGCTGCACGCTGAGTTTCAGAACTATATAATTGTTCTTAGTACAATGTACACAAGGTGGTGAAAAAAACCCACATATTCAATGCATAGGTCTCCTCATTTCCAAAGAAGTAGTAAAATAAGTCGAGGGCGATTTAGAGTGAAACGACAGGAGGGATTGGAGATAATTGACTTTACGGTTGTGCCCCTCAAAAATGACAGATGACTAATTGGATTTTTAGCGCTTTCCCTCGGCTGCTGGTTTTCACACGTCAGACATTTATCCGAAATAAATCACTAGAGGGTTTTGCGAATTCTGTCCGCGCCGCCCACAGCCCAGCTCGGTCGAGTACAGTGTGACCACTGTGGCATGTCGGGTGTGGGGTCAGATCTTCTTCGAGTCTCTTGCCTCAAACAGTTTCAGGCGCTCTTGCACTGTCAGCCCCTCCTTCAGGCTCTGTTGGGGGAGAAGCGAGAGAGGGAGAGGCACCGTTAACTCAAGCCCCGGCTGCTGGGGAGGCACACTCTTGTCTCAGTGATTCCCAGAGCTGTTCACCGTGTGACTGCCAGCACTCCACCGCACAACATGGGAAGAGAAACTCGGTGTGGGGGTCAACGGTAGAGCCCTGCCGTTTTAAAATGAGCGCCGCCGCTGCGCTGGCCACCAAAGCCTATGAAATTATTGTCCCAACGTTTCTTTCAAAGCTGAATGCAAGCATGGCAGCGTTGTGAATCACTGCCGGCATTGCACCACGTGGAAAACACAAGCCCCCAGCTGCCACACAGGCGTGGGTTTGTATATTAAGCTGTTTTATCACCATTGCATTGCATCACCTTGTGTTAAGGAGTGCCCATTTTAAAGTGGCAGGGTGCAAACTATCCCCCCCCGGAGCTGTCAGATATTTTTCCCGCCCTCAACAAAGAGTGCAGAGGCCTCCTTAAGGAACACCAGACCAAATAAAATCCATGGGGCTATGTCCCCCTCCATGACAAGTACTAGCTACAAGTTCAAGGAGAAATTTACAGTATGTTATAAATTTTCATCATTTCATTTCCTGCATGTATCATATCCTTTTCATGAGTTTTTAAAGCCTCATTTCTTGATGAAACTGAAATGTTTCTCTGCCATCATTAATGCCTGCAAAAGCCCAAATGGCTTCATTTCTACCAGCTAGAAGCAAATTAACATTTCAGCCGTCGTGCAGACTGACTAATATCCTGTGCAAGAATAAACTGGGGCCTTTCTCTCATTTGGCTGATGCAGGTCTTCAGAAACGTGTCATTCTGGATAGCAAAAACAAACGAATAAATAAGGAAACGGGAGGATATGAACACATATAAAAAATGAAACAATGAAAACAAAAATAGGCTGTTCCTTAATAAAGGTCGGATTTTCAATTGACATTTTGAAAATGGATAGAATTTATTTCAGCTGTGTAGTCAGAGGTGCTTAAATTCTGGTTATAAATTAGCATTGGTACAATGTATAATTTTTACATGACTGAATGCTGGTTATTTAGGAAGCCTGAAAACCTGGGTTTTGAATGTGATACTGGAGGCATGATACTGGACAACCTGATAGAGTGAGATACATTGGGAACCACTGGAGTGCTTTAACATGAAATACTGCTGACACTGACAGGGCATGCTGAGGGGTTAGTCTTGAGTGCTGTAGAAAATGGAAGATATTAATACACACTTCTTATGGGAATACCTGTTTTTCCTATCATGACATCTAAATTCATTTCTAATAACCAGCAAACTTTCTGACACACTGCATTATTAACACCTCTTCTCAATGGATGTAAAGATGAACAAAATACACAGGTTATTTAACCTGGTTAATGGGAATTCATTTAAGCTTTACTGCCTTGCTGAAAGCTTGCAGCCTGAATAAGAGCAGATACTGCCAAGCATTATGTAGTATTGTTGCTGAGTGTTGTACCGTCTGAAAATCGTGTCATGTCCCTGTGACAATGTATTAATTCCAATTACATTTGAAAGGGAACATGTATGTAGCAATGCGAGATCTTTGGTGGGGGTTGTACAGAACAGATATTTGCCGTTAAACGGTCAGAGCAACCAGAGTTAAAAAAAAGTGGTTTGCTCACTTTCAAATTTCGTTCAACATTTTTGTGCTCAGACATGATCAGAAACATGCATATCCCATAACCCTGTCTGTATTCAGGAGTTACAATGAGAGCTATACACCAAAATGGGAAGGTCTTGGCAATATCCTCAGCATATCAAGAGTGAATGAAAAAGGGGCACTGTTCCAAGATAAGACTTTGAATTAAAAAGTCAGTGAAGCTGTCTCTGTAATAATAATAACCATAGTACACAACTGTTAAATCGCCCGTTTCTTAACAGTGTGCACAAAAATATGCAACCATTTAAACTAATAAAACCCTACCAAGGACAGGGAAGGACCATACATACTTTGTCAGAACCAACCATCAGAAATTATCTCTGATGGGGACAATACTGCAAGTTGTCAGACTCTGCAAATCCTAGTGGTCACTGCATGACATGAGACACCCTTAATCTGGGCCTATTACACACTTAAGCCTGATCAGAGTCAGCTAATGACACAGATCAGACCCTTGATATTTACTATAAGGTTAGAGCCACGCATTAGAAAGAATTCATCAGTCTATATGTACAAGGATGTACTGAAGCTGGCAGTCACACCTCTACTGATGTGCACCAGAAGAAGGAGGATTCAAATTACATCAATATAATTTAATTTAAAAGTATCTATAGTAGTTCACCTTTCTTTACAACTTCTCTCAGATGAAACTGATACACCTTGGAAGCCAGACTAAATGTACAGGGAATCCTTTTTGTGTGCATGCTAATTGTTTCAAGTTTCTGCTCAGATAATAAAGAATCTAACCACATTTTCCTGGAAATAAACAGAACCGATATGCTATGATTCCATAATAGGGAAGGATTTGAGATTTGCAGTGGTCAGTCAGCTCATTGTAGACTTGCAAAATATGTTATTCCTCCTTGTACCTCAGAAATCTCCGATATATTACATGACATGCCAGTCCCTAGAATAATCTATTTTTTTATCTGTTGCTGTTAGGATCTCATTGCTTTTGTTTGACTGACCCAGTTGTCAACTTATAATCAGTTCAGACTCACTAAACCAATTCAAAAGCTCAACTATGAATTATTTTAATAATTAAGGCAGAATACACTTCACAAGTGCTGTGAAAAGGTGGCCCTAATTTAAGAGGACTTGCAGAGTGAGAACATTTTATTGTGCATTTTTGTAAAGATCCACTCCATATATCTCTTGTGTTGGGAGAGCAGGAAACAATTTGAAGAGCATGTTAAATGACGTCATTTATAATTTACTGGATTTTTTACTTGATCTTCAAGAGTGGTTTTGAGGTGCCTTCTAGGGAATCCTACTGTTCCAAATGAAACATTACTGGCGATATTGACCATATGCCATTTGTACAGTTTCTATTTGGAATGAAGAGATCAAAACGGAAAGATAATTCTATAAATGCATTGTGACACATGCACACAATACCAGGAGCTGGAAAAACATGTGAAAGGATATCACGATAGTTTGTTCCCAGGGGAAAATCCCCAAATAGGATGAAGTCACTGTGCTACAGCAGGGGCAGGAAATCTTGACTTTTCCATTCAGTTAGAAGTATTGTATCTCTATCTAATATTTAATTAAGCTTAAGTAGTCTGCAAGGATTATGCAATAATGTTTAATAATGTGCACAACGGACTTGGTTAGGCTGGAGTCCTATGTTGCAATGTAATGGAAAGACCAAGGTTTGCCCTTCCCTGTTAGAAACAACCAAGCCTGAGAGCAGTCTTGGAGACAGATGGACGTGTGGCATGCAGGATGGGTCACGCTCTATGAAGTTACCTAGATCACAGGCATACCCACTCCCTGGCAGTCATCAGCTGTCCCATGAGACCTGCTCAATTACAGACTGTCAGGGCAAAAGATGAAGGACAAGCTTAGACACACACACAGTTACTGCACATGTGCAAACGAGAAACAGTGCATAAGGCTGATTTCTGACATCTCCACACAGAGGCACTGAACATCTTGTACTGTACCCCCAACGCAGGCACTGGTCTAGTCAACTGCTTAGTAATGTAATCAAATCAATAATCAATTGTGAAAAGATCAATCACAGATAAAAAGGCTGGATCTTGTCACCATCCCCCAGAAAAAAAAAAGGTATGAAGGTGTGGAGATTGACTATCTCAGCCGATTATCTTCTGTAAACAAATTTCTATTGCTCCACATTACTAGGCAACAAGGGTAGCAGATCAAGTGCCTGAGAGTTTACACAGGAAAATATTTTCTAGGTTATTCTAGGTTATGTATTGTGGTTATCGTCATTGTAAAAAGTTGATTGGGTATTTCCAATTAAAGTTTTTCCAGAGATGCTACTTAATTCAGCAGTCATTGCCTTTAATTGCAAGTGATACTGCTTTTTTGAGACAATTTTGAATGTGCTTTAATTCAGAAATTGCTTTGAAAAACAGTTGCCAGAGGCATTCATTTCAGCATTTGGGATGGTTCTGTTCTGATACCGGATGTGTCGGCCTCTTACGCTATTGACATCTTGTACAAACACAAGTTCTGGGACACAGAAATGGGATATCACCACTCTCTTGTACAAAAGTAGTTAGTGGCTGAGGTGCTATAAAATTTAATACAAAGTAATGTACGCCAAATTTATACTCTCTCTGTGGTCCTTCTCTACATAGTCACCAAAAAGAAGAGCTAATCTACTGTGGTCACACTAATTCAGGTAGAAATAAGACTAAGACTCACCTTAGACCGCACCCCTCGAATTTGTCGGCTAACACTTGACCTCTCCTTCTTGAGAAAATCAGGATTACTTTTAGATTTCATTATATCTGCGATGCAAAACAAGACATGATCAAACAGTCAAAGAAGCACTGAAAAACCACATAAAGATCCTCAGGTCTTCACTCTGGGCTTTTTCAAGGTTACGTTCTCTTTAAACACCCAGGGGGGTCACTTGGATCCCCAACAGAAAAAAAAGTCTAAATGATAATAGAGTGGCTTTTGTAAGGATTCACAATTGGAGTCAACTATAGATTTACAGTCAAGAACTTTGTTATTGAGAGAATGTCCCACACAGGGGTTCACAATTCTGGTCCTGAAGGCTCACTCACTTGTTGGTTTCTGCTCTTCTTTATAATAATAATAATAATAATAATAATAATAATAAACGGTTTGATAGATTTTAACTTCTGAAGATCCTGTTTTGACGATTGCATTTAAAAGGCGAATAAAATCTCAAACGTCTGTGTAGTAAAAAGAACTGCAACCATTCCAGTCAAGTTACTTATTAGTGTCTCGTCATCCTCCAGGACCAGCAAAGACTACCACTGCTTGAGAAAACTCGAGCTTTGGGGACACAGGACGTGAAAGCTCACAAAACCTCGGGCAATAAGCATTGGTTTTTCTTTGGGCGGCTAAAACACTGCATCTTTTCACATGCCGCACACAATTACTCTTAATTTACCTCATTTTTACATCAGGACATCAACCATCGGATATCCAAAAACCTCAACCAAGGCAAAAGTCTGTGTCCAGTTTTTAAAACTCGGTGTTTCATTAACTAAGAAAACAGTTCTTGTAAAGGACCAGCACAAACGCGGTGCTTCTTTTTACACTCTACAGTAGGTGATAGGAGGTAGGTGTTCTGTACCAAGCAAAGAAAGCGTCAGAGAGTGGGCGGACGGTTTGCCTGGGAGCTTGTGGGTCACACTGGAAAGAGGAGCTCACCATATCCAGACACAGGGGTGCTCTCCGCCGTCTTCTCCCCCAGCGCCTCTGTGGCCGCCATCAGCTGCTCCTTCAGCTTCATGATGTCACACTCCGCCTTCGCTCGCACGATGCTCAGCTCCGTGTAGATGTCCTTGTACTTGTCCGTGGCGTACTTCTTGTCCTGACAGAAGGGAAAGGAAAAACCAACTTCAGTTAACCCGTGCGGGCGACGTCGGAGACGGATCTTCCTTGTGTGACCGTCGCGGTTCCACGCGGGCTCGCGCCCTCCGCCACTGAAACTGAATTTGACCCCTGAAAGGAGATCATTAGTCTCCATGGCAAATAATCAAAGATGGAAACAATAAATGAAAAACATGCAGAACTAGCAATAAAGAACACAAAATGCTAACATCAAAAACTCTTTTTCAAAAGCCTTGGTACCATTCAATAGACCCGTGAAACTTTGATATACCCTTAGTGCAGACTGGAGTTCGTCCTTCAGTGAGTGGATTTCTTGTTTTAGATATTGGATTTCCGATTCCTTGACCCGCAGTAAAACCTGTAAAAAAAAAAATAAAGGCAGATGAAATCACAAAGAGTTACTTTTATATCCCCGGTGAATTTGCGCAAACCTGAACCGAGAGAGAAAATAACTTTCTGTCACTCCGTTTCTCACAAGGAACCAAACTTTTACACAAACACGGCTGTACATGATCACTGGGTGGTAGACAGCGCATTTAAAGGTTTGACATGACGTCAAAGCTAAATTAAATCAAGGGAGATTAATTAGATTATTATGAATTTGACAATAACAGATACCATCCTTGCAGACTATAGTGGCTTCATGTTTTTTTTAATATACTAGTATGTATTCCTTTTTACACACTATTGTTTTTTAGCGCTCAGAACACGATACATTTTCAGTGGTTTGCTTTACAGTTTAATCACCAAACAGTTGTTTATCCAAGTTACAGCCAGCAAATAATAATACTAGCACAAGCCGGTTTCACTTTCTTAACTCCAAAAGGCCAAAAAACCCTTTTGATCTAACAGGAGGTGTTTTTCCAAAAATAATCTATTTTTTTTCTCCCAAACTACGTGATCAATGACGTGCCATTTCAAAGCACCGAGTAAGAGGCATCGGAGAAATTTGATCTCTTCTCAGGGCCTCTTTTTCTAACATTACTTTACGTTTTAAGAACAAAAAAGTTGCAAACACGAGGAGGTCGTTTGACCCATCTAGCCTGTCTGGTGGTTAATACTTAATCAATCCAAAGACCTCGAGATTTCAAGATCAGGCTGCCGGTTTCAGCAGTATGACACGGTGGCTTGATCCATACTCCCACAGACCATTGCATAAAGATGTGCCTCCTGTTTTCGGTTTTAAATGCATTTCACCGTGGTTTTCAGTTGTGCCCACTTGGTTATTGAAGCGATAAGCTCCTGTCGCAGTGATGAAGAGGAACGGAGCCCATACCTCAAGCTCGTAGATGTCCTTGCCATGAGTGAGAGGTGAGCCAGCCTCCTCTCCGGTGATACTGGACCGCAATCGGGTGATCTCCGCTGCCAGGCGGTTATTCAGCTCCTGCAAGACAACCGCCACTGCAAAGACTCTCAAAGCGCAAAAAGAATAAAACAGGAAAGGAGAAACGATACTTTGGAGGGCTTAAATCTTTAAGTATTTTGCAGCTGTGACTCGCCGGGGTCTGTAAACATCGCGTTTTACAAAGGGATCAAAACTGTAATGTAACACGATCACCTGTGCAGCACAAACATTGAAAGATCTATTTTTTAGCATTGAAAGATCTAAGTTTAGCTTCCCCAGCAAAAGCACAAGGGAGGCTTTTTAAGAAACGCGTTTTGGGCATTTCTCTGTTCACGTGAGAGCCTGTCTACCATGCACATAAAACAAGGCCCGTGTTTTCAAACTATAATCCCCGGTGAACCTGCTGAGGAATTTTCCAGGTTTCGACCTTTGTCGTGCCAACTTGTGCCGACCTCCACTTGTTTTTTGTTTCTTTTTAACCAGCTCCGGGAGGTCAGGTCTCGTGTCCCGGGATACGGACTCCCAGGTCGCCCGGCGGCGCTCACCTGATTGTGCGCATTGAGCTCCTGGTTCTCACGCTGGCACTGTCGCAGGGCCTGCCTCTCGGCCTCCAGGGCCTGTGCCAGGTGGGCGTTCTCCAGACACTTCTGGGAATACTGCTCTGAAAGCACCTCCAGCTCCCGGTGGATGGACTGTAGCTCTTCTCTGGCGGTGGGGAGACCAGAGACAAGAAGAAATTCCTATTTCTGCACTGCTGTCATCATCATGGAATAAGCTGAAGCCATTTTTCTTTTGGGTTAGGGCAGTAACACACCATTTCAAAAGTAACGCCTTCATTAGCTCATCTGAAGATGACATGGGGCGAACCTGAAGTATTCCGTTACCAAGCGAAGATTCACTTTGCAAAGACCTATCGGTGAAGAAACACCTTTCTTTTCCCCTCAACACAGACTTAGCTACACGAAAGCAAAATCCCAAAATGAGCTGTCCGTTCACCACCACCTGCACCTGCTGGATTGCTCTGAAACGGACATTCTCAGGTCACTGCCCAGCAGACAAAGGGTTGCCCACTTACTTGTACTGCTTTCGGAGCTCTTCGATGTCCGAGTTCATCCCGGTGATTTGGGAGCGCTGGGTCTTCTCCAGCTCTTCTCGGTGTGCATTCTTCATGGCTTCAATAGCTAACAGGGGAGGGAAGCCAATGACCATGTTAACCAAGGTAAGGACTGCCGTGGTGAGCTGAGACGCCAAGCTGGGTGCTGTCGTAACAGTGCGGGAGTGGGGGAGCTGCGGGGAGCACCGGAAAAAGTCAACGCCCCGTGTGAGGGGGCAGAGGCACCGGTGTGAGGTTAGTGAAAACCAGAAAAAAAAAACAAAAACACAAAAGGGAAAAGCAAAAAGAAAAATGCACCACTTTGCACAGCGGTGTCCAGCCTGGACTGTTCCCTGCTTAACGGGGTTCAGCCTGGGGGAAAAGGACCACTTGGAATCCGGACTCGGTTATCCCTAGTCAGCGGGATCCAGACTGGATGAAAACAAAAAAAGCACTCAAACTCCAGCCCGGTGGGAGATACAAGGTGGGACAGGAGACAAGGAAAAGAAAATGAAGGAAAAATACGGCCTTAAGCTCCCGTCACAATCCCCTCCGGGGCTGTGGGTGGAAGGTTCTCCCCTTGCGGGGATCTGCTCATCCCTCCGGGGAGGTGTTCAGTGTGTCTTAAAGGGCTCCCACAGCTGTGGTTGCCCTTAATCCAGTGTTTCACCTCCACACTGAACATCCCCCCCCCCCGTGTAATGCCACAGTTTTGATTTATTGGGGGAATGCAAGCCCCTTTGAATTAAAACGGAAGATTTAATAAACCTTTCTTTTAGATATCGCAATTGTACGGGCTAGCTCCACCACACTCTGTAACAGCTTTTTCCTGCAGGCCGTCAGGCTCCTCAACAGCCTGGAACCTATTTGCACCCGGTTCCAATTCCAGAGACAGGGTTCAAATTCCCCCAGTGTTTAGTGTATGATGTACTTCCTTGTACTATTCTGTAATAGTCAAATTACACTATGTGTATATCCCGTGTACGCTGCCTTAGTAATTTGCACGTTGCGTATCCTTTCTACAGCGTCTATCCCAGTGTCCCGTCTGTAATTGCACTGCGGACCAGGAGGAACGATATTTCGTTCCATTGTAACTTGTATATGGCTGGAATGACAAGTAAACGTGAACTTGATATAAACACTAGCCTTCTGCATGAGTGTCTGCGTCAGACCCTGCATGAAGCACAGTTTCTATATGCTGGCTTTTTTTTTTGGGGGGGGTCCCCTTCCATTTTGTGCTTGGTGTCGCGTCCCACGCCACACACAGTAACCTCGATGTCACGTGTGAGGGCTCCACGCTGGCATCGGGGGTTCGGTGGGGGGGAAAAAGGCAACCAGAGGACCAAACGGAGGCCTCACCGGCAATTGTGGCAGCTGTCTCCTCGGCCAGCAGCCTCTCCCGCTCTTCCAACAGCTTGCAGATCTCCCTCTGGTGCTGCCTCTGGATGTCCTCTATCACCTTCTGGTGCGTCTCCTCCATGGCCGCAAAGCCCCTCTCGCAGGTCGCCTGGGGAAACGGGAAGAATCCGCACCAGAGGGCCGGTCAAACGCTTTGTCCACCCCTGCTCACGGGCCTCCGCTCAGGGGTCAGCCCCGAGAGCAGCCGAGACCGGCGCGGCTGCTCCTCCCAGGCTGCCTGCCGTGGCTCGCGATGGTCATGTGAATCTAGGTTGACATCTACGGAAAGGGAGCGGTGCCCAGTCACTGGTTATTGGCAGTTAAGGATCATCGAGAAAGATGACGAAGCGAGGCATCAGGCCATGGAGGCGGGGAAGGAGGGGAGGGGGTGTCACAGGGAAGAAATGAAGTGGGGGTGGAAAAATATTTTTTTAAAGGGCCTTCAGAAATAAACTAGAGAGGAAAGCTTCCTTTCAAAACCAAAGCATGTCCTACCTGCAGCGTGTCGTTATGACTTCCGTGACGCATTTGATATAAGTTAATAAAGGTCGGCCGCAGCGTCGCGATTTTTATTGTATTTTATTTTTCACTTCTCAGATTTTTCCCCCCAAGCATTAGGTTTCCTGTCTGCGTGAAAACTGAAACTCTACAAAACGCCGCTGAGTCTAGTACACATGCTTTGCATACACCAGCTCTGTTGCACTGGAGTTACAGTCATTCCAAAGCCCACAGGAGGTGTGTGGAGAACTCGGCAGGCTGGTGCTCTTAACAGTACAGCACTGTCTGTTCCTCTAATGTCAAGGTTATTATCCAACTCACCACAAAGGGAGCAAATGCAAGCTTCAAAGCAAGATGCAACCCACTGCAGCAGCTCTAGATGCTAGAGGTAGTGAACAGCTGGGACATATTCCATCCAGTACTAAAATCTCCAGCAGCAAACGACGTTTGTCTGACAGTAAAAGCACATCATAAAGAGCTGCTAAAAAGGAGGATGTTTCCGGTGGCCTACAGTATGAACCATTGAATTCTCTCACTACTTTACAAGAAACCTCAGTGTTTTCATATCATCTTTGGTTAGTGCCAATGTGTATAAAGTTTACACTTGCCTTTGTGCCCTGTGTACATCTTGAAGAAAGCAAAAACAAGCTTCACCACAATTTCAATGCCATGCAATACCACTGCTTTACAGGGAGTTAGCTACAATGCAAAGCTTTGAACAGGGCACAGAAGATGCGATGTGGGCATAATCTCAGGTGAAAGTAAATCCTGGATTTTGGTCATTCTGGGTAAAGCACCAGGTCTGAGGGGTTTGAGGAAGTTACAATTTCATTCATTGCTGATAGCAGGAAGCTGTTTCATGTTTGGTTCAACATAACATCGGGAGGGTAACGATACAAAAACTGGCTTTAGTTGAAGACGAATGATGAAATCTAGTTGGTGGACATTTGACCTCAAAATCAAGAATTGTTAAACACCCTGTCCGAACAAGGTTCTGTGTTCTGAAAATTGAAAGAGAAATGCCAATCACTTTGAAGGCAATGAATCTGGTGATTACGTTCTAATTCAAGGATATAGGACAATAAAAGTGTCACAATGTACTCTGCACTAGCCCTTGCAATGTTGTTTTTAAATAAGTGTTTTTAATACCATCCAGTCCTTAGGAAAATGAAGCTGCTTCTGTAACAAATGTCCTTTGCTATTTTATTTTTAAATTTGCATGAAAGCTTATTAAACTTGCAGTAAGAATGACATTTCTTTTTTATGTGGCCAAACCCAAATGATTTCAGCTGGCTTACTGTATTGTGTTCTGATGTTGCTCTGGAAACAATCATATAAATCATGGCTGACAGAAAATTAAAGGCGCCTGCTAAATATTCTCCCTGCCGCCTTCACTTAAATGAAAGCACAGAGCACAGGAGTACAGTTCCTGACAGGACAGAAGCCCAGAGATGTGGATAACTTCAGCTAACTACGCTGTAATCACTGGGCTATGACCAAAGTAGTTTATGCTTGTTTTCTCCACAACAGCAATACATTGTTAGAATCGCACTTGTAAGAATTGAATTACTTTAAAATAAGGTATGTTCTCCACTGACATACTTACGACACTGCTGTGCTAATGTTTTTATGCTACTGATTCATTAACCATTTTCATTTGACCAGAAGTTACTGAAGGTTTCAGAGAAAAACAAATGAAAGGAAGAACCAGTCATGCACGATGGCCTCAGATCCAGAAAAGGTGGAAGACTTTCAGAGGTAAAACTTTCCATTGGCTTGCCATACAGTGCTTAGACTTCGAAGCAGTGATGGCTGCACTGTCTCTGCATTTCAAGCCACCTATGTTAAACAGCTTCCATGATGCAACACAGTATGTCAGTGGTGTGTTTATCATGGAGAGCAACAGCATGGGATGTGAGATGGGAATATGGGAGTGGAAGGTATGTAAAGGATTTATTTGGTTTATTAACAAGGACATGGATTTAAAGTTGCAATGGCATCCTTAAACAAATGTCATTTTTCAGGAGCTTCTCAGCTCTGAATTTGGAACAATCCAAAACAGCAGACTCAGCTCACTGTAACATAACTAGAGAAGAGCACTGACTGTTTCAATACAGAAGCTCACAATAGCAAATCAAGCCATTGTTAGCTCACCTGTTATTTCAAACAAAAGTGACTGAAACCTCAAACACTTAAGCCCCTGGGATGATGCACTTTCTGAATTTTACAGACTGTACAAGATGAAAAGGTTAAGCCTTAAAGAAACTGCTTCCATGTTGTTATCATCAAATTCCTGGGAAAAATTCAGACTGAAAATGTTGTGCACGTTTCTGAGGGCACTTTGCGCGACATTTAAAATAACATTTGACACAAAAAAATCACTTTTGACCCTGGAAACTTTCAGTAAACAAAGGCCTAAATTTTAAGAAGCTCATTCATTCATGGAGCAAATCGGTAAATATCAACAAGGCTTTTGGCAAGTCCATTTTTCTGTTTGCGGCACAAACAGAGCTGTAATGAGCCATTGCAACCTGAAATCCACAGATAAAGCCTAGAAGACTAGAACAAAACATCTAGAAACCTTTAAGTTTTCAAAGTCTTTCTGGTATTTCTCCCTCAGGCTGGACACATCTCCCTCCAGGTGCTTGTGCTCCAGCTCGTCCTTCATTGCATTCATCTGTGTCTCCAGCTCCTGGATCCTCTCCCTCAAAACAGTCATAGAATCCAACTCCGTCTTTGCCTCTTGGGATTGCGTCCCATCAACCTCCTCTGCTGGCCAGGAGTTTTTGGGAGGTGAGCAGACCTCTGCGGGCGAGTCCTCTGGATGCTTGGACTTCAGCTTCTCCACCGTCTCCTGCATGGCTTTGATGGTCTGAGTGTAGTGGCTGTGCAAGTGCTGCATCTCTTCCTCGTGGATTCGTTGCAGTTCCTGTATTTTGCTATGAAAGTTGTCCTCCAGCTTTTGGATGTGCGCCTCGTGCCTGTCCTCCATGTTCTCGATATCTAGCAACACGACTTCCAGCTTCCTCTGGCTTTCGGCCGTGCTGTCCTTCACCGCCGCCTCCGCCGTCTTCCGTTTCTCCTCCGCGCGGTGCAGCTCTTGCTCATACCTGTCCTTCAGCTCTTCCATTTCCTGTCGGAAACGTTCCTCCATCTGCACGAGGCGTTCCTGCTGCAGAGAGAGCTCTGCCATGTGTTGGGAGACCTCTCCTTTCAGGGCTTCGTTCTCCTCCTCGAGGTTGGAAACGGTCTGAGCAAAGCTCCGCCGCTCGTCTTGCAGGGAGCTTTCGTACCGCTCGCGGATGGCGTTCACGTTTTTCGCATGCTCTTGACACAAGACATCCATGCTTTTGCAGGCCTCCCTACATTCCTTTAAGTCTCTTTCATGGTCTGCTCTTAGCTTGCAGGCCACATAAGCTATCTGAGCCTGAACCATGGCTTCTCGCATGAAAAGGGAACTGCTGTCGCTGATATGTCTGTGAGAAGGAGGCACACAGGAAATGTCCATTAACCTGTGGTGGCCAAAGCCTTTGTCTGTGTTGCAGGTAGTCTCCATCTCTTGAGACAAATGCTGAAGAATGCCTGCCTGCCTTTTCAGTTCATCAGCTAGCTTATCTCGCCCCACAAGCGGGGGTTCTATTGCATCTATGCTACAGGACGGCAAACCTCTCTGAAGGTGCTTGTCGACAATCTGTTCGGCCAAGTTGTGGGCCTCCTCCATCTTAATTTGCTCTAAGTAAGGAGCAAGCTCAGGGGGGCTGATGTCAGCCAAAGTTCTCCCTTGTTCACCACTAAACTCATCACTAACCTCCCGAATGACCCGGTCAAACTCTGGCATCTTGTAAGCTTTTACGATTGCTTTCAATGTATGATCTCTATGTTCAAGATTCCTGTGAGCTTCAAGGAGATCCTCCTTAACCTTTTGAAGTTTCCGCTCATAAAATTGCTTCAGATTTTGCACTGCAAAAGCAAGCTCCGCTTTAATGCAGGCATTGCTCATTACTACGCTATCAGTTTTCCCTGCACGGTCGTCCCCTGATGACTGAACACCTTGACTAACCTCTTCCTTCTCCTTAAACTGCATCTTGAGCTTCTCCACTTCGTCCCAAAACTCACTCTCCAACATTAGCTTTTGGGTTAAGACATCTGCATAGGCAATTGCAACATATGACTCGTCACTCCTTTTCAATTTCTCAGCTTCCTGACATACTGTGCTAAGTCCCTGCAAAAGGTCTAAATTTGGATTTTGTATAGAGAATGCCATCTTGTTTAAAACCAGTGCCTCAAACGCTAATGTTTTGGCAAACAGTTTGATCTTGTCCTCATCCGATAGCTCATGTACTGTTACCTCCTTGTTTAGACTTTCCTGGTATTGCAGCTGTTGTTCTTCTAAACCACTTCCTCCCTGCTGAATATAAATAGTGGCATTGACCAGCTCTGTCTCAATTTCTGACAATGTGTGTAGCTGTTTATCTGTGCTATCATCTTTGTGGCTCTTAAGGATGGACTGGACTTTTTCCCTGCTTAATTCTACACAAGCTAAGGCCTTTTCATATTTAGCATTCACTGCTTTGATACAGCATCTGGTTTGTTGAGCAAATGTGCATCTCTTGTTCATTTCCTCCTGGAGCTGAGCTGTTAGCTTGTCTACTTTGGACAGGCTTTCCGTCAGCTGTTCTTTGAGCTCTGTCTCGGTTTTCGACCATTGGCTATGGTGTTCCATCATGGACTCGAGTTGTCTACTCTGTTGCGCTTCCAACTTCAACGTGATGTCTTTGAGTTTCTCTTCTGTCACATAGAGTTTGGTTTCTAGCGAGTGGATAATTGAAATAAACTTATCTGGATCACCACTTGTGGAAGAGATAGTACACTGGTAGGGTGGATCAGAGGATCCACTCTCCTCTGAAAGGGATCGATCCTGGCTGGTGTCAGAGGATGTGCTACTCATCCACATTTTCTCTGTGCCATCTGGATGGACATACTTTTGGCAGTGTATACTTGAAAATCGTATCCTCTGTCTTTTAGCAAGTGAAACGCCAAAGTCAGTGTTTGCTTTAACTTTCGGTCTAACATCAGCAATTAGTGCAGTTTCACCTACAGGTGAAGACGAATCCTCTTTTTTCTGCATGCTTTCAAGGACATCACAGTCTTCTTGAAGCTTGCTGTTCTCCATTTGAAGGTCGGCATAGCCCAGCTGCAGATCACTGAGGTGTTGTTCAAGCTCTGTTATGCGATCCTCTGCCATTTCTAACTTAGCTTGCAAATCTCTCTCAGTGCCGCTTGCCTCTACCTGGACGTGACCCATTTTTGAGAGCAGTTCTTCTTTTGCTCTTAGTCTGAATTCCGTTTCTTCCAAGCTGCTCCCCAGAGCAGCCATTTTTACCAGGGCTTCATTGAGGTCCTGCTCTTTCTTCTCTACCAGCTTCTCATACATCTCCTTTGCTTCCCTGATTTCCTCTTCCTTTTCTCTGAGAACTCTGTTGATCTTCTGGAATTCCTCTGACACCTTCTCAAAGGAATGCTCCAGGTTGTAGTAGTCAGTCTCCTCCGTTTTTAGCCGAGATTGCAGCTTGGCCACTTCATTGTCGGCTTCCGTTATCTGGTTGATCAGTTCCTGGCACCTGCAGGTCAGCTGATCTTTCTCCTCTTCCAGCTCATGGATATTTTCAGTGAGCTTATGGATGGTGGCCGTCTTGAAAGCCAACTGCTCTTCAAGCTGGTGGACCACCTCGCTGCTCTCTAGACCAGTGGTCCGTTTCTCCTTCAGCAGGTCTTCAACTTGCAGTTCTGCCTCCTGAAGTCTGTCCTCCAGCTCCCGTGCCTTCCCCTCTGCTTCTGCCAAGCTCCGAGACAGAGACTGCTTCTCCTTCTCCAGGCTTTCCTTCAGAATCTCGCAGTTTCTCGAAAGCCTCTCCTCCTTCAAGGCCTGGGCCTGTTCTGTAGCTGTCAGCTGACTGGTGACGTCTTTCAGCCTATCTTGCAGCCTCTGCACCTCCTTAAGATAGTCCTTCTGCAAGGCCTGCTGTCTCTCCAGGTCTCGCAAAGCTTGGGTCTTTTCCAAAAGAAGAGCCTCCACATCCTTCAGCCTGTCCTCACTGTCTTTCAGCTGAGTCTGAAGAGTCTGCTCGTTGTGCTCCCACTCCTCCATGCGCTCTTTAAACTTCTCCTGTTCCATTTTCAGCTCGCTCCTCATCTTGGCTACAGTTTGCTCACTGATTAGAATCTCTGCCATGGCGTTATTGAGTTTGGTCTGCAGGATCTGGATTTCCGACTCATGGTGTCTGATGACGTCCTTGGCCTCACTGTAGCTGCGCTTCAAAGCTTGGACCTGCTGGCTTGTGAGGTCATGACGCTGCCGTTGAGCCTCCAGCTCGTTTTGAAGGTCTTGGTTGAGCTTATGGAGCCTTTGCCAGGCTCCTGTCGGTGAGGTTGAAGAGTCATTCTTTAAGAAACCGATTAGACATGAGGTTAGTCACACTCTTTTTCTCCTGACACTGAGCGTCACACCTCTGGAGAGAAGGTACAAAACTTTTTATTCCCCCCCCACCCCCATAAACTCAGAAAGCCTACTGATGCTTCAAAGCTTTCCACTGTGCTTTTTCAGGGAGGTGTCTGCAAGATGCTTGCAAAGCCAACAACTAAAAAACAAAGGGGACAAAACCAGAAGTGCTCAATTTCTGCATACACTGCAAGCCACAAAGTCATAGAAGACAGCAGATGATATTCTGCTGCCAACTACAGTGGTACAGTATGCGGCATTTGATAAACAGAACAGTACTGTATGTATGTAAAAATTTAATTATATTTACAGCTATAACCGCGCCTGTGCCAAGCATAAAAAATATCCAATCACATACAATCCTACTACAGGAAAAACATCTCCTCAATAAGGGAGTTTGGCACAACCATAAATAAATATTATACTATACTGTAGATAGGTAATACATATAAAAGGGTGTCTTGGTACTGCTATACTGTATATCATTATATATAGTATATAGCCGGGATGTACAGTCAGGATTCTATTTTATATTACGAAGGACATCATATGCAAACAGTGAACAGAGTGAATCCAAATTAAAATGTGACCATGCATTTTGTCCCACAAACCCAAAGGCATGCAAACAGAAGCCAGAAAGGAAGAAATCACACAAAAAAGAGGAAAAAGCACAGCCCAAAGCTTCTCTGAATTCCTCTCTTACCTTATTTTCGTTCACGCCAATGATATCCCAAAGATGTGATGCTCAGTCAAAAAAATCATTAGTCAGAATTCATGCTTCAACACCACAACCATGCAAACTTGATTCCATTCCCAGTCTTGTTAGTGAAGATCAAATAAGGCTACAAAAACATTTGTGTCAACACGTTCCTATATGCACAACTCAAGGTGAAGTTTGAAGTCATAAACAGTTTAGACAACCAGCACATTTCACTTTGCCTTTTGCGTTAAGTCGTACGTTCTGTGAGCAATAAATAGAATAAGGTGTGAGTTCTCCTACTGTGGAGATGAGTGAATGCCAACTTACAAAACGAAAAAAAGAGATCCCGTAAAAGTATATCATTAAAAGAAGTTGGTGTTTTTATATTTGCAGCTAATCAATATTGAAAACAATTGACATCCGAATAAAGCTTTGAGACTGAAGATCAGGAGGAAAGAGATCTAGAGTGCCGTCTCTATCTCGTTTTGTCTTTGCCCCACCCCCCGGTTTTCTACCCGACAGTGTTGAGGTGCTCTCTGTGAATCAGACTGTGTACCTGCAGCACATAGCCCTCCCGCGCACTCTGCTCTCTTCCCCGGGCCTCCTTGAGCTGTTCCTGGAGCAGGCTGTTCTGGTCCTGCAGCTTGGCCAGCACCTTCTGCGTCTGCTCCAGCTGCACAAGAACACCACCCCTGACATCATGCCACTCCACCGCTCGGGACATTCATGCTCGTCACCTGGGTGCTTTTAAAGGGCTCCAACACCACAAACATTTGTAGGACTGTAACTGATGCTTACTACTATTTCATGTATTTTTAGGTGTTTCATGTGCTTTCATGTATACGTGTCTGTGGAAACTGTGCTTTTGTTTTCGACATGTGACAAGATGACGTATCGAAGGTATTTAGTGTCGTCCCAGCATTTGCGTCTGTAGGGTGTAAGTAGGGTCAAACTTCCGCGTGACGGCGGAGCACGACTATAGCATTTACCATTATTTTAAATAAGAAAAATTCATTTAAATTAGGCGAAATTGACAAATTGGGAACCCTCTGTATTTTTGCATTCGGGGGTCAACGTCAGTGTCACCCACCTCTTTATCCAGCAGAGCCGCGAGCTCCTGAGGGGGCAGGCGGTCGGCCCCGGGTTCGCAGGTGTGCAGGGTGGCGATGGGCACCTGCTTCTCCTCCCGCAGCGGGGTGGTCTCCACCTGGTGCCAGCGCTGCTCGATCTCTACCTGGACGTTGGGGGGCTTGGCGTCGGGGCCCGGGGGGGTGGGCGGCGAGGCGGGCGACTGGTCCACCTCCATGCGACTGCCCTCTTCCAGCCCCCCGTCCGCCGGCTCGAACCGCCGCCTCCTCTCCTCCCGCCGGCGCGCCCGCTCCCTCTCCAGCTCGGCCGCCTCGCCCGGGTCCCGGAGGGCCGCGCCGGAGGAGGAGCTGGGAGAGGACGCGGAGGAGGGGGAGCGGGAGGGGGAGGAAGGGGAGGTAGTGGCTGTGGCGCTGGAGGGGGAGGTGGTGGTGTCCGCTGGCTCGTCCACCTTGTCCTGCGCGGGGCGGAATTCGGCCCAGTCGAAGGTCTTGGAGCGCCCCTCTCGCCGGCGCTCCCGGACCCGGCTTCGGCGCTGCTCCGCGCCGCCCCCGTCCGCCTCGGGCCCGGCCGGGCCCTGCTGGATCTCGGCCGCAGCCTTGGCTTTCTCCTCGGGCAGCGAGCTGGGGGGAAACAGCGGCCCTGTCAGATCCACTCGGCCCACCCACCGGAATACAAACGACATCTCCCGACGGGACACCGTCCTGACATTTGAAAAGGGAGTGTACCTTACTCAAAGCCCCTCGTGCATTTCCGTGGACGGGGGGGGGGTCTGTGAACGGTATTGATGGGGTTCACGATTCAGACTTAAAGAAGAAAAGGTTTGCCATTCACAAGTAAACTCTACAGTGCAGGCAATGATAAAAGCAGGCAGGCCAGTGCCGCTGCAAAACTTTACGTCGGTCATACTAGATATAATGATAAACTATATTTTATATAGCCCTTTAAAGGTCAAAGCGCTTAATATGTTTTCAACAGTCCCTTTTAAAAACTGAACGTTAACCACGCAGCATAACAGTCTTTCCCTAAATGGACATTACTCTTCTTGAAGCAATATCTCTAAACAAACACGGAAACACTACTTTTTTTACACACCGATCTAGCCCTCTTATAAAACGGCCTCGATATACTGGTTAAAAGTCCATTCATGAGCATCTCCCTTATATTAACTAATGTCATTTCATTTCAAAACATAGCAAGAAGACGAGTGGAAGACAATGATAAATACCCTTCAGGCTGTGGTTCTGCGTGTGTTTTCCTGAGGGGCAGGGGAATGTGTCCACAGCTCGTTATTAATAATCGACTGTTGGGGGAAGAGACGCTTAAAAAAAACGGCTGACGAAAGGGTCTATTTCGATCGGTCTGGGGGGGGGTGAAGCCAGAAAAAGTAAGGTGTCTGAGAGGTGTCTGTGGGAGGGAAGCACCAGAAATATCAGACATTTCATCACTCCGAGCCGGCAGGAGGGAAACCGCATACCGGTACAGTATATCTGTGTGTTAAACAAACATGTGGGAGTGATGGATGGCTCCCATGAGCTCTTCAACCTCGAGAGGAAAAAAACCCATGAGGGGTTTTTCCTTTCCACTGCCTAAAAAACATTTGGGCCTGTGTTTATAAACCGTTTATCCCATAGTTCGCTTGCGTTTGTACTGCCTACTGAGAAAACAAAGTATTTTAAACCATGAGATGCGATTCTTACAAGGTTAATTTCCTAGAGGTATTTTAATGTTTTGTTCAATTATTTTCAAATGTTTTTTGTCAATGGGCTCATTTTTCTTTTCATTATAAAGTTGTAAAGGTTGGTTTTTCAGTGGTCCTGGACAAAAATCCAACGACCAGCCTTCCTAGGCCAAACCTGTGTTGTTCAAGTGGTATTTATGAGGAAAATTACTATCCACATTTTTTTTGTTACACCCATCCGACAGGGCCGGATTTTGGTGTTCGTAGGCCCTCCGAAACGTGGAAAAAGAGGGGCAAACGCCAATTGAATTACATAACTCGACATGATGCAGTTTAAACTATTCTAATGATAAACCGCGTGATTGACCATCAGTCTTTTTCCAGAGAAACTCAACATTGCTACATAAAATGCTCCATGAAGGTATCACTTACAGAGGCAGAAAGGTTACAAACTGCCTCACCTTACAATAAAAATATCTAACATTATTTTTAGCCAGCACCCTTATACTTCCATTGATAGCCACTTGTATCAAGACTCTTACTTTGATGTAATGCAACACCTTGATCAGAAATAAGATTCTCATTTTTTTCTTAACCAGTAAATTGATGTTTAGCATTCATCACCATTTGTGAAGATGGTGGTTTTAAAAAGATGCTCCACTGTGAAGATGGGCATTAGAAACATAGGCTTATGTCAACTCATTTTAACTACAGTATGTGCCTTTATTACACTTCGAGACTTGTTTCAGGTTTTGGGCAGGGTTTAAAATTGAGCAGCTGCATTTGTAGGTAAAGCTAATATCTGCCAAATACTGAGATTAATCCGGAATTCTCACACAGAAAACATTTTTGCCTTTTTTTTCTCCCAAGTAAGAGATCTGTTCTTTTGCCACTTTGTAAAAGAATGAACATAAATGAGAAAAAAAGTAAACAAATATTACAGTACACTAGCAATGCCTGACTACATATGATGAAATGAAAGAATATCGAGTGTCATTTGTTTACACACGCACGACAGACAGATACAGAAGCTGGACAATCACAAAGGACAGAAAGAAGCTTTCCAACCTGGATTTGAGAACGGACAGTTTCAAAGAGAAGTTTTTCCTGGGACAGCATGGAAGCCAAGAGAAACAGTAGGACAGAGGTTGAGAAAACAATGCAGCCAAAGCGTATCATTGTAACAGATACAACACAGAAAAAGGAAGGACACAAGAAATAGCAGGACGAGACTGGAGAACGTGAAGTAGACAGTACCTTAAAACAGTAACCCTTTTACCAATGAAATAGTCTATTTGAATGATAAAGTTTTCAAATCAAACTAAACAAGCCAGCTGGCACTTCTCAATTCTTTCAGTTGAAGCCTCACAACTGGGGAGTACTCAAGTTAAAAAGCTGAAATGTCGCTCCTTTGAGTGCAGAAGGAACTGCTTGAAAACAGGATGTCATCTGTATCTTGTAGTGGGATCTTCAGATCAATTTGTAATGAGGGGTTACTGTGAGTGTGGGAACTGAAATGCACTGTCCCACTGGTCCCATCAGGTTTCAACAGGATTGGGATTTGGGACAGTCTGCCTGTCCTTAAGCCCGACTACACATTGAGAGGAAAAAGGTTTGTCCTGTTGCTTCTGAAGAAGTCGAGTTTTTGGTTCTTAGCTACAGGGTTGGGAATCACGTTCCAGACACCCGCCACTCTTAATCATAAAAAAAAACATCAAACTTTCAAAAGCTAAAGCTGACCGACTCAGATATATTACTACACCTATTGAAAGGCAATAGTCAGGAAAAAAAATTCTCTCCATACTTGAAACAATGTTGATCCCAGACAACAATGATTTTTTGCCAGGAAACAGTAACAACAGTCTGTATTAGACAGCAAGATTTATTTGGATGGGATGTATTTGAACTAACTTTCTCCATCAATCAACACTTTACTGAATACTGCTGACCGTAAGACCTTCAGAAATCTAAACGATGCTGTTATTAATCACAAATGTTGCCTTCTTTAGCATAATTAAGACAGTACCCTTGGAAGATTTTCTTGACTAGCAATGTTCTTGTCCTCTTCATGCTGCGTCATTTCATTGGCCGCCGGTTTACCGAACAAAAACCTGATGCGCTCTTAGCCAAACAAATTCTGCATTTCATTTCCTGCTCTGCTTTTAAAACCGTGACAAATGCTTACCTTTGAAGACCGTTGTTGAATATCTGTCTTGACAAAGAACCAATAGTCACGTAGACTGGAAAAGTTACACAGTGGGATAGTCCTGCTTTCTCCAGAAACGCCTCCCTCCAACTTGAGCATCTACTGTGTGTCAGACCCTCCATTTGCAAGACAAAGCTACCCAACACCGCTGTGTTTCTGCCTCCTCTGTTTTAAGCTCGGTCTTCAGCATTGCCTGAATGCCTTACTTGTCTCACCTGGTGACGTCAGGAGCTGTCGTGGGACGCACGTTCTTCATGATGGCCTGGATCCAATTGCGCCGAATCCCGGAGGTCATGGCGGACAGCGTGAAGGCGCCTTCTTTCGTCTGTCAGAGGAAACACAGCATTGGCAAAGAGCGGTACGTCCGTGGTCAAAGCGGCGAAAAAAAAGGACTTTCCGTATATCAGACAATACTTTCACGTCCCAGGTAAATTCCTGCAATGATAAGAGAGAATTTTCCGGAACTGGAAAATGAGTGGGGGGGGGGAGGACGTTCTCCCTTGCTCTGTAGAGATTCATCTGAGAAGGTAGTGAGATTTGCTCTTCTGAGGTGAAGGATTTGTTAATATTACCGAGTCCGCTATATTCTGAGCTCAGTTTTGCAGTGTTTTAAACGCACCACTTGATGCTACAACCCGCCATGATGCCGCTTCAGGAACGCTTCTCGATTTTATCCCAGTATCAATGTCACTCGTATTTCCCGTCAAGAAACATGTTATAAGTTTGAATTTTTATGCTATGCCCAGTAACATATAATTATTTATGAATATTTGAGAATTCTCAATTGAGAATCCTCTAAGTGGAGCTTAAATCCATTATTACATTTTCTAAAATAGAGGACCACCATTGTTTTCCAGGAAGTGGAAATGAGATTATGATCAAAAAACACAAATATATAGGGAAAAAAAACTGTCAGATTTGACACTGTTTTTGTTCTGCACAGGCTGTAGCATTGAGGCGATTAAATACACACATTATTAATTTCCTGATGTAAAACTCATGTACAGGTACATTATTATTAGCTAAGGGAAGGAGAAGGTGTCCAGTTCTATTTTTACACCAGCTCTAGGGGCTAACAGCTGGTAAAGAAACAACATTATTGTTAATCACTAATCATTTTCTAACCACTTTTTTGTAATACAGGGCCATGGGGGAGCTGGAGCCTATCCCAGCAAGCAACAGGCAGAAAGCAGGATAGAGCCAGGATGGAAGGAGAGTACACACCGATACACACCAGGGCCACTTTTCCCAGAAGCCAATTATCCTACAAGTATGTCTTTGGACTGTGGGAGGAAACCGGAGCACCTGGAGGAAACCCACATAAACATACAAACTCCACGCAGATAGCACTCCAGGAAACAAACCTAGGGTCCAGCGGTCTGAGAAGCAATGCTAACTACTGCACTATTGTGCTGCCCTTAGTTAAAGTGATATTACTCATTTTGGAGTCTTCCAGAAACCTAAGTACTGAAGTTAAAAAAAAAATTCAGATCTAAAAATGGTTAAATTAAACAGAATGTCCTGGGTTAACGTCACCTTTCAATGACTAATGGCTACGTTTCAGGTTATGGTTGGTCCCTTTATTAGTTTTCTGTTGCAGATTTAAGTAAACAAGGTTTATTTTTAATGTGAATGAAGTCAGGAGGTCTCCACGGGAGATTCTCACCAGTCTGAGGGCAGACAGTCGGTGAGGCAGAACTGAATTAGCTCCAGTGAAGTGACACACAATGACATTAGAAGTCAGATGAATCTTTATTCTGGTGCCAAGGCCAATTTTCTTTAAAAATGTTAGCAGTTTACAAGCATGTACAGAAAATTCACATACAATCTTTGCCAGTTCTCACTCACTAATGCTTTGTTTTTGCTTTTCATTAAACAGAGAATCGTTCCATTCATTTCTGAAGTGAATCGCCAGTTAATTACTTTTCTTCATGAATAGACTAAAACGTGATGCCGAGGAACTGCAAGGATTTCCTCGTTATTAAGAAAACTGAGCAACAGCGTAACAGCCAGGCAACATCTGACAATTATAATTAGTAAAAAAACGGACCAATCATGTTGAAAGGCATACTTAAAGTCTGAAAACTAGTTTGTGAATGTTAAAGGCTCTGCTACAACTCGAGAGCTCTTCTTGAATTGTCTGACCTGCGGTAAAACCATGCCAGATACTAATGTGTTTATGCTCGGCTGTTTTGTGCCTGGTGTTGCACCGATTCTTCATTTGTCACACTGCAAATCAGCAGGGTTTGTCTTTGCTACTGAAGGCTATTAACATTTAGATAACACTGCATTATACATTATACAGAACTCCAGCACAGCGTGTGACACAATGTACACCTCCAGTGCTCAGTAAGCATATTTTTTTTCCCCACACTATAAAGTCATTTATTCATGCACATTCCACTTACATGAATTTGAAATCCATAGTTTCTCTGCACTGCGAATTCTGTGACATCAAAGCAAGTGGCAAGGTCTATTTCTCCATCTAGATCTGCCGCCTAGAGTCGTCAATAGAGAAAAAACATAAGGGGCACATCTGCATAATGTCCACTTTACACGATCTTCACTTCTTAAATGTGCTTTGAAATAAAACGACCTCCTGCTTTTTCTCGAATTTATAGCATATTCTAAGATGACATGAACTAAGAGAAACTGGTAACACTATCTAAGTTTCAAGTATAATTGTATAATTATCTGAAAGAGAAGTTAGAGCAGAAGCAACTAATTTATGCTTCTTACTCATTTACCCCATAGTAAAAAAAAAATGATTTCTTCTTTGGAAAAAAAGATATTGCATTGCTGTTGTTTTATCTTCTGTCCTTAATCAATCATTTCGATACATACTTTTTTTTCTATAAACTGAGTGTGATTCCTCAACACTGAAGAAACTTCATTGTAAATTGTAAATCTCAGCACCTAAAAGCCCGTCTGTTCAAACCATATGATAAAACCTGACCTACCTCCTCAGCAACTGAGTCCCTGTAGTACCTCAGACTCTGATCTGTTAGGACAAACCAGTGCTTCTTCCACTAGAAATAAGACAATGGCTCAGAGTCAGGACAATACTGTAACAAATCCAAGTCTCTTCCACATTTTTAAGATTAGGTAGCACTTACCAGCCCATCTTCATACAATTTGGTCATCCATCCTTTCTTGAAATTCAATAAGTCAGGCTGAAAAAAGCAACATCAAGAAACTGTTAAAAAATGCTTCAATTGCCCACAAAAACATGACAACCTTCGGATTACTGTTATCACACAATTTCTCCAGCAGTCAATTATAGATCTTAAACACTACATTGTCTTTACCTTGGCCATTTCTATGCCCCATGATCCTCAGAGTAAGTCAAGGTCTTAAAAACAAGAGAGTCAGGCTCCCTGACGTTCCTCAGCAACTCTTTGAGAAGCCAGATACTAATAGTTCAGAATTAATAGCCATTTCCAACAGTGACCGTATATTTCAGAATAGAAATTTCTGCATATAAAATTCATCACCATTCAGTAGATTGAGTAGTTAAATATGGGCTTACTAACAGAACAGTTTATCCTTTGAAATCACTAAAGTTGTATTTTTTTCACCATATCTTAAGTATAACCAACTCCACACTGCTCTGTAGGGCAACCAGTGCCAACACAGTAAGATAGGAACCAAACACACAGCATAATCAATCTCTGTTATTTTTCTGGATATTTAACTTTGATGTGAATTAAACTTAGCAACCTTTTTTCAGATGTATAATGGTGAAATCACAGCTGCAGAGAATGGCATATATATTCCTACTTTAAGAGAAGTGGTCGCATGAGCTCCAAAAATGAGTACACAAAAATGAGTTGGGACGCACTCTGTGATGGGTCATTTACTTTGTCCTGTGCCTTAAGATACTCTTATACACAGCATTGACATCCTTGATTGAAAACGCCTTGCAATATCATTCCTGTTCACTGCTTTCACACTCAAACCGACAGTCTCTACAACAATTAGAAACATTCAGCAGACTGAACTTGCTTAACAACAGGGTTTTGAGCTATTTGATCGTTAACTATAGCATTTATCCTCCGAGAACCTTTTTTTCTGGTCCCTCTCAGCTCAAAGGACAAGACAGAAACAGACTAACTGCAAATGACCCACAAATACAAAGCTCCACGTGCTGCTTGCTGTGGTTGCGCATAAAAAAGATTTTGGTCTGCAGTCGCGTCAGCCTACAGTTTGAATGAATGCCGGCGCTCTGTATGAATAGGAAAGCATTTATTCTCTCTTCTGCTCCGCTTGGTTGTTACTGCACTGGAACTCTACCAAGATACAGGAGCAAGAGGAGCACAACCAATTACCGCAAACGTGCAGGACTGAGCCAAGAGGCCTACCTTGGTTCTGTTCAGCTTCATTGGTCACACTGACTAGAAAGACACCGTCTCCCCCTTTTTCTCTCACAACACAGCCCCCAGTGGCTTAAATGTCTCCTCACTCTATTTATAGCCCAGGGCAATTCTGACAGCTGCAGTTCACGTGGTGTGAGGGGGCTCCTTAAACTTTAATAACAGCCAGGGATGGGAACTCAACTTCCCAGGAGAGTGCAATCCTCCAGGATACAGTTTCCCTGGGCTATAACGGCCCCATGCAACTAGGAAGATTAAACCATGTGACTGCACGGGAGGCACTGCCCGTGGTAATAAACAACAACAGTGAATAACCCAAATCTAAAAGAAGACAGCAGTCCATTATTGCAAAGGATATTACTACCAATAATAATCATCATCTCAAAAATTTGGTTGAGACATTGAGCAACATTGTCGAACACAGCAGGAAATGACAGAACCTTACTTAATCCTCACAGCAATGATATGCTGAGAATCCTTGCTTGTTCCCTTCATACTGTAAAAACATCTAGTAAAGCTTGATTTGAATGTAGCAGCATAATGGCTTCATAATCCCTTAAGAACTCATACACAAGACATTATAAACATATACATGCTTTATAAAGCTTTTAGTAACGCCATGTATAGTATTTGGTATGACGTGCTGCTACAACAAATAGCATGTTCCCCCTTCATATGATTACAATGTCTTGTGTAGCCATTATGAAGGGATTATGAAGCCATTATACATGTCTACCTCTATAACAAACACAATTTCAAGAAATATCAATGTATGATACTGTAGGATGAAACAATGTTAGACAAGTCCACCTTTTTTACCCTGACTATAATAAGATCTACAGTGTCTACTAAATGTTTAAGTCAAAGCATTAGCCTGTGGGTTAACCTATTATCGTCTGTCTTGTATCAGTTCAAGCTGCCCGTCAGTTTTCCACTGATCTGAGCACTAGAACCAGCTGTATTAGGAATGTCAAGGGCCGGCCTGTGTTCCCCGTGTTCAGTTGCTCAGCCTGTATTTTTGTATCCTGCCGATGTCTTACTGTCATGTTGGACTCAGTCGCTCTCCTGTCCAAGGACTTAGCTCGGCGGTAGGGGGAGATGGCAGAGGTGGACACATCAGGAATGGATCTTTCCTTCGGCGCTTCCAGAGAAAATTCCTGAAAAACAGCCAGGGGACACAGGACTGCATCAGGACATCCCAGAATAAAAGGAAGGTTACTGCAATGAAGGCTAGTTGAGCTCACTGCATGACTTTTACAGCCCAAAGATCCAGACCCCTGAAACTTGAAATCTGGTTCCCAGTGTTGCAAGGCTGCATGTCATTGCTTTACAGTTGGGACTGTTGTGCTTGCAAGGTGCGTATCTGGCATTATCACTGCTTCAGCCCAGCAGAGGGCACTCCAGCCCCTCTGGAGAAGTGATGTCAGGCTAGGTGGCAACAGCATTCATGGCCATACACTACAATACTGATACTGCTTCTGTTACAAGCAGAATCAGATTGCCAAGCACAACGTTAAACGCAACCAAATGGACAACTTCCACTTCATGCACCTATATCACTTTGTCAAAAGAAAAAAAACAAGTTCTCATAACCAGATCAGTGTTTTGCTACAGGACAAGTTCCTGTTTTGTTGGAGAAAGTTGTCCATGGTGGAGTTTTGCATTTATGTAAAAATACAACGGCAACAGGTAACAAAAAAACTACACAATCAGATACATCATGGGCAGAGCTCCCTTCGCCAACTCTCCCAGAAGTGCTGTGGATATTTCCGCAGTACTTTCACAACAGTGGTAGGAAATACCTGCCTTAAACCTGGCCTGATGTTTGTGCAGTTGTGTTTGTTACTTTCTGACTGCTGGGTGTTGTGACTCACTATACTGCATGTTCTTCCAGTTCATTAGCCCAGGGCTCTGCAGTGTAAAGAGTCACACGGGAGCGGATGCCCAGGTGCACACTAGTGGTTCTTCCAGTTCGTTAGCCCAGGGCTCTGCAGTGTAAAGAGACACACGGGAGCGGACGCCCAGGTGCACACTAGTGGTTCTTCCACTACATAAACCCAGGGCTCTGCAGTGTAAAGAGACACACGGGAGCGGATGCCCAGGTGCACACTAGTGGTTCTTCCAGAACATAAGCCCAGGGCTCTGCAATGTAAAGAGACACACAGGAGTGGACGCCCAGGCACACACGCTGGCGGTACCTGTTTCCTGGGGCAGGGCCGCCTCTCGCTGCGGCTTTGCCGAGGGGCGCTGGCTGATGAGAGGAGTTCCGAGGAGGAGCTGGTCTCCATGCGCTCCGCATTCTCTGCCTCCAGTGTCTCGAACCTGTCGATCACCTGGGACCGCCTGTGTGGAGACCAGAGTTGCACCATCAGCGCGGCACACAGCGACAGGAAAACACACGCTCATAACACCTGCTGCCCATTTCCTACAGATGGGATTCTCAGTACGGATCGCACAAGACAATGCCTTGGGTAATGAGACTTTCAATATTTTCACTCCAGCCAAAATATATAGGTCATGAAACGTTACAGTAGTTGAACTTTCCAAACCAGTATTTCTCTTTTCTGTTCCTCAAGTACCGCTCTGTCTGCTGGTTTTAATTAATCCTCAGTGCTAATTGCTACAAGTAGCTGATTTGCTGGCTTGTTTAAGCTCTTTCTCCTGCTCCTCCAAGCCTTTGTTTCAAGAATACCCCAGTACAGTGGATCTCTGTCCTGGTTCTGGCATAACACTGCTTCTTTTGCTTTTTTTCTCCGGTCCGCTTCTTCATCACAGGGTAATGTATTTCAATTTTCTATTTGAGGTCTTTGTTTCTATTTGCTTCCAGTTCTTTTAATGTTGAATGAGAATCCAAATCAATATGAACGCTCTAGTTAGCGAGTTTTAGGGCTACACTCATTGAGGAGTCGGACTGAAGCAGAAGTCAAATTGTTTGGGAAAGACTGTGAGTGTGGCTGTTGACTGATAACAGTGTAATTCCTACCCTCTGTCCGTTCATAATCAACTGGTCACCTGTGAAGATGTGTTCAGTCAAGAAAAGCAAGCAAGATCTTAATTTTCAGGGTGTGGAGTGACTGCATGATAGTCTTTGTGCTGACGTTGTTGGAAATAATGCATTTTAACCAATATATTTTTTAACCAAGGCCTGAGTGCAGAAAAAAAGTGAAAACCTGCAAGCAGATCCGTTAACAGACACCAATGAGCACTGATGATAAAGGGCCTGGTTGGAGCAAAATCCAGGAGCCAAAGGTGTCCTCCAGGATCAGGACTCAGAACCTCGACTCAAAGCATCCATTAACCCAACTCCCTTCTTGGGGGTTTCTTACTGTAGGTCTCTTTCAATCAGCAGCAACATCTCCAAATCAGCAAATAATTATTTAAATTAGATTGTTGAGGTTGAACAAGTAAGAGATCTGACGGACTGCATTTGGGAACCCTGCTCTAATCTGTGTTCTTGCTGAGCAATAAGCATGATACAGTAGTTGGCACTACACTGCCAGGTACTTAACAACATAAGAATGGTGAGTCCCAAATGAGACGATTCAGTCCAGCCTGTTATCCGTTAATTAATCAGAGGATGTCATCCAGCTGGTTCTTCAAAGAAGTCAGAGTATCTACTTGAAGAACATGTCAGTGTAGCTTGTTCCACATTCCTATAACGCGTTGGATAAAAGTGGATTGTGCCCTGTGATTCAACTTGTGCACTCTGGTTGTGGTATAACTCATAGTCCGAAAACTTATTTAACAGTACAAAAAAACAACAACAATCCAATCTCCTTTTGCTCTTTCGGGGTTTGTGGTAAAAAAAAAACTTTAAACTAACTTGTTTTTACCTGTTCTTTAAAGTTTAAAGCAAATATGAGTACATTAAATTCAGTGCTTTAATCAAACATGAGCGTAGTCTTCTTCGGTACTGGGTCAAACTGCTACAGTACATTCCTAAATTGACTATACACTTACTCCATTTGCACAGGGTCTAGGCTCATTGTAAAAGAATACAGTTAAACATTTCTGTATGCGAGTCTTGAATTTCCACACATATGACTGGCAAAGTCTCATGTCATGAGACCAGGTTGCCAATGGATCTCCTCACTCATTAAATAATAAGCATCATTTCAGTGACAGAAAGCATACCACCAGCCTAAATTTAACATGTTTCCCACTAAGCATATTTTACTTTTGTACTCCTGTTCTTCAGACACTTTCCTTTGAACAGCCTAACACTCACAAAGGTTGTAGGCTCTCCCTAATTCAGCCTTCTGTCTCAAGACACACCTGTAAGTACAGTACCAGTCAAACATCTGTACAGAAACAAAATTCCGACCAAGCAGACACACTGCATCCTTCATTAACTAGGGCATCTTAATGTAGAATGAGTGATTATTCAATGAGCATTTGCAATTACTAACATCTCAAATAACATGTTTTAGGATAAATAAACCCAGTTAATTAGTTAAGTGAGCCAATTATCTAACTAAGAGTTTGCACGGACAAGAAACTACAGTTGAGGAATACCTGCCGAAGTTCCTTCAGAACCGAAAAACTTGAGAAATAACTGCCTCACAGATCCAAGCCCTTGAAAAGTGTTGATCACCAGCTCATTCAGGTTAGGAAGAGGAAGGGGATGTGCTTGAACAATCATTGATGAAGTGCAGTGATGTGTGGGGGGTTTTTTTGGTGGAAGGGGAGGCATACAGTAGGTAAATGGTTTCGAATCCAAATAAGTTCCGTGCAGCTCCCAAATAACGATGAGTCAGGAGTTTGAGTGCGCTCAGAATGGAAAAATAAGATGGGAGGGCAGAGAAAGGGGAGCAAAAGACAACATTGTTCACAGCAGGTGGACTGGAGACCACGCAGAGAAACGATTCTGAGAAATAAAAATCGAACGAAGAGGAGGAAAGGCATCGAGCGGCGGTGGGGCGGCAGCAGCAGAGAGTTTGGTCAATGAGAGGAGTGTGGGGCCCCTCGTGGCCCCTGGGCTCAGCACAGGGGCACAGATTCGAGATGGAATGGAAGCAAGCGGGGCGCAGCGCCAACAGCCGGAGAGCGCAGAGTGGGAAGGCAGCGCAGCTCCTGGAAAAAACAAAAACAAAACAACAGAGAGACCAAGCTGTAGGGCGGAAGCTGAGAAAGCCAAAGGGAGAGAAGACACATTGCGCCTGGTGGGAAGGACCCACTTTTAAAATGACTTCGACATGAAAGGAGAAGAGCTGTGATAACATTTGGCTGTCCTCACTTCCTCTCCCGCCGGGTGACGCACATGCCAACAGCCCCACTACACGGCTGGCCAGGTGGAGACGTGAGAAACCGGTTCACCAAGTCAATTAAGGGGGAATTCTTGGCAATTGCGGAGTGGACACTGGTGGGGTAAAACCCCCGGACACTTCTGGACAGTGCCACGCAATCTTGAATGGGCAAGTAGTCAGGACCTCCGCTTAATGTTTCATCTGAACGACAGCACAGTGACTGTGGTTAACATCATAGGGAAGCGATCGAGACCTCCTGGGCCATCAACACCACTTATAACTGCAACCTAATTTTCTAAACCTGAAATCTAAATTCCTTAGATTTGGCCCTGGATATCTCAGTGCTGCCTAGTCCCAGCTTTGCTTTGCTTAACTTGCTAAAAGCAGTTTACTATACGCCACATTTATACGAAAGATCAGATTACAGTTCTTGATCAGTTGGACGTTCCACAATGACACCCCGCCTTCAGCCTCCTCTGGCAAAGATTTATTTAAAGATGAGTGCTTTCTTTTGCTTAATCTGTCTAAAGCATTTTCCAACCCATTTGCAAGCAGAAACAAAAGATTTTAGTTCCCACTGTCTGTACATTACAATCCGCTAGTGTCACACACTTGCAGAGTTAATCCTCAGTATATTTAAGAACCCTAATTCACACAAACGTAAGACAATGCTAGCCCCTCCGTGCATACAGACACAAAAGCATTACAAACGCTCCTGTTCATCACATGAATGTCTTAGTTACGGGGAAAAAAAAGTTACACGTGTTCCTTAAAATCGAATGAGAGAAACCTTTAAACGAGCATTTTGAAAGGTCCTGTAAATGAGCTGCGCAGAGAAAGGCATTTTTGTCAAGAGACTGTTATGTCAAATGCAGTTTCAACACAGGCACCTTCAAAGGGTTCAGGTTCTGCTTAGAATACCCTTCTCAAAGGTCTGTTCTGTTAACCTGCTGCTTTGATGCACCCCACTCTTACTGCCACTAGATGGGGACAAAGGAAGGAAGGTTTTCAATGGCTGTCCTACAGGAGATACAGTACAGTATACCGGGCTACTGTGGTTTGAGGAAGTTCCACTGTACTGTAGGTCTATATGGCTGTAACAGCAACGCCTGCACATACAGTACATGTGTGTCTTCAGCAGTGCATGACCACTAGAGAACGGTTTATCCACAGCCCTCCGGAAGGTGAGGAATTTGGCACATTGAAAAGACACCTGAGCTGACACCTGAGCTGTTAACTACATTCAGTGATGATATCCATGGGCACAAAGAAGGGATCTATGGTCAGCAACATATCGGAAACTCAGCCATACACCTCTACTGCGGGTTTAAAAATAAGATTCTTACATCTAAACCTTTTATGTTATTTATGTATGTTATTATTTACTATTTAGAACAGTTTGTTTTAAAATGACCTGAATAGTCTAGAAGCTATTCAGTTATTGTTCTATTAGATCACGTTTTTGTCCCATTATATTTTAAACCATAAGTGTAATATCTTCATTTTTCATCACTGAGCTTTAAGATACCAAAATGTCACACAAGTGTTCAACTTCAAATAACTAATTTAATAATAGTAAATATTACTGATCTACAAGGTACTTAACCTGAAACTAAGATGCAATCTTAGCAATGGGGCCCTGGGTTCATTTCCTGGGGTGCTGTCTGTGTGGAGTTTGTATGTTCTCCCTGTGTTCCCGTGGCTTTCCTCTGGGTGCTCCCATTTCCTCCCACAGTCCAAAAACATACGTTAAGTTACAATAAGTTCATTGGATTCTGGGAAAATTGGCCCTGGTGAGAGAGCGCGTGTTTGTGTCTGTGTGTGCCCTGCGCTGGACTTTCAAATCCAATCTGTAATTGCTCCGCCGAAGTGTAACAATAAAGAGATACAATAAGGAATCAAGAAAAGGAAAGAAGAACACCCCTTCAGTAAATAAGATGTCTTCTGTTTCTTTTTTATCTACCTAAGGAAGGAAGAGCCTGACTGATTCCTCGAAAGAAATAGCAGCGAGTTCAAAGAGCTATTAGCTCCTTGCTTTCATGCCAATCAGATACCATCACACGCGGCAATAAAGCCTCAAGTTGTCTTTGAAAACACCCGAACTCCATACTAATGAGGAAAGAAACCCTTCAGCAAAAAAAACATTCACAATTTATTCGGGAATGGGCGCAATTTCTCTTCTCTACATCTTACTTACTATTAATCTCATCTCTGCTCATTGTACCTATTGATCCCTAACACTGAGCATCACAGCGGGAACAATTTAGTTTAGAAAGAATAATACTTTGCCAGCAGGGTTACAATACAGTACAAATACACTACAAAGACAGCTATTTTCAGTAAAAAGACAGCTATTTTCTCTTTTCCTACATTCAATGTAAAGGATACATTTTACTGTAGTTTGCTCAATCTTGAATCACAAGACTATTACACCATTTTTTTTCACAGGATATTTTAAACTTCTGTAAATTGAGTTGTTTTTATTCTCTTTTCTGACTTTAATACTATCATACAGTATATCCCTGTGCTCCTTAGGTTCCATTTTACCAAGTCCATGGGCACTAGTCACAGCATAAAGTATTTAAGCACACAAGGCCAAGGAAGAAAAACAACTATAAATGGCAAAAGAGGTATGTTCCTTTCCCTGTAACAATTTCATAGCAAGCACTCACACCAGGAGTGTCATAATTAAAGAATTTATGATAAGATATGGACCTTTATAAACTTTGAAATGGAACATGTATTTCGAGATGACAGCATAAGGCTTTGGTAAGTGGACAAAATATCCTCTCTGACAGCCGGTGAGGAGAGAGTGATGATGTACAATGAACACACATCTTTCTCTCTTCATAATTAACTTCATGACATGGACTCACAGAACCAGCTTCTGTAGTAAAAACCCTGAGTGTATGAACTAAATGCGTAAACCAGAAATCTTGTGAAAAACAGTTCACACGATCAGACAGTTCCACTCGACCTCAAACAGCCAAAGCCGTGATCCTGCCTGCTCTTTTTAACGAACGTTGAAGTCCTGAGATTAAAACTACGACTACGACTACGACTACTCAATATAGCCTTAATTCCAGGTTCTCTCAAGGTCCGAGCTTCAGTTTTAAAATCACAGCTGATTTTAGCCCCACTGGGCTAAAACCACGCTTAAAACCCGTGACAGTCATTTTGTGGAACACACTACCGATAACAGCTTCTAAAAGAATGAATCCTAAAATCCTAACTGGCTCTTTTTTCACTGCTTGCTGAAAGTCCGGAAGCTTATTAGCACCAAGGAGAAAAAAAAAATTTTGCTTTTAAACAAGATAATAGTGCATTCAAACGAGATACCTTTGCTCTCGGAGAAATAACTTTTCTATTTTGTGCCAGACTGATATACTCATACCAGTATATTTAAGAGAAATCTCAAGACAACATTGCAGACTCACCTAAACCTTTTTCAGAACATAAATTTCACAAGAGAGAATTCTAGAACCAGTCGGGTTGACTGCAGCTGCATTTCCAATAAGACAATCAAACCCTAGATTTCCTTTCCAAACTGAAAAAATAAGAAATCTCTGAAAGGACATAAATGTGATTTGTGCCAGTTGTTTTGGCATAGTTCCTTAAAGCCAAAAATGTGGACAACGTGATATAATTGTGAAATTCCAAACTTTTTCCGTCCTTCAATAAACATCAGAAGAGGAGGTCTACAGAACAGGACAGAAGGGGTCAGGATTAATCCTCTAGCAGGATAAGAGAAGGTCTCAGAAGACAGACAGTGTTTACTACTGTATCTTCACCCAGGAAGAAAAAAGTGCCGTACGTGGCCAGGAACCAGAATGTCAATTAGCCACCGGAACGGGTAACAACAGGATTTTTTTTCATGCTTGAGATGGCGTGCTAAAGGAATGCTGGTTCTTGGGTAAAATATCAGTAGGGAACAGGGCCTGTCACCATGGAAACTAGAGACACTGGGTAACCAGCGTTGGGCTTGTTCTGGGCCACTGTTTGTACACGTGAGGGAATGACCGTGGTCTCAGGGCTATCCCGCCCTTTGATGAGAACGTAGCTAATCTCTGTTAGACACTGACAGCCCTGCCTGAACCCATTTTCAGATTAGCTCCTGCAGCCTGGTTTGTCCAGCAGTGCTAGAGGCACTAATCTGCAGACGCTTGCTCTGGCCTGAAAAGTGTGGGGAATGATGTCTGCCTACAACTCACGTGGGTGAAATGGCTTGTTTAATAATGGCAGAAAATATGGACCTGCATATCAGGCAGGTCAAAATGCAGAATACAACAGGGTTGGGAAGTGGTCTTTTAGATTTCTAAAACCACAAGTGGTTTTGAGCTCTGATCTGACCCATGCTTGGTTTCAGACATTTTGATTTTATACACAGTTAAAAACAATCCTGTTGCTGTCTTGTATAATGGTTCTGGAAACTCGACAACTTTTAACTAATTCAAGGAGCAATGCCACCCAATAATTAGGGCAACAAAACAAAGAGATGCATATTATTCTGGGTTTTGAAAGACTGAAAACAGTATTTTGCATAGTCTTTTTTTTTCTTAAATCAACACTACTAAATAAGAAGGAACTGCAAGACAGCTGGTGTCATAGTACAGATTTCTAATGAAAGCACATGAATGCAACAGGCTTAGGCAACTGATCTTTGAAAACAGAAACGAATGATTCTTTACCAGCTGGGCCTTTCGTAAAATAAGATTTTACGGCTAGGCATTGCTACCTCATAAACACAACAGCAAGCAAGTCCTTTTCAAAAGCACTGATAATCCTTCCACGGTATTACAGATTGTAATTGAAAAATGTGGTTTGGACAAAAAAAAACACGGAAATTAATTTTGTGCATAAGAGTGGATTTTCTGTGGGACTGCAGGAGATTTCGAAGTGGGTGATAGCTTCTAAACTAAAATAGGTTTCAGCTCGTCAAAGAGACTTTTTTAACACAGCACCAAGTACTGGCTAGATTTTTCTAATGAGCAACTATAACAGGTAACCACAGATACCAGCAAACTGAAGAATGCCTTACTTAACACTGCCTCCACTGGCCAGGCAGGGCAAGAACTAAATAAAATAATAATTGGTAATGCAGCTGACAGTTGTTAACTTAGCATAAAATATCACCTTATGGTACCACAGGGAAAGGAAAGGCCTTGGTCATTTTAAAATAAAAATAAACTCAAGGGAGTCACTTGCACATTATCATTAAGTACTGTACCTTCCTTTGCAGTACTACATAAGTTCTGAAATACATGCGCAATACTGTTTCCAGCAAAAGCTAAATACCATGTATCTTAGTTTGGATGTTTTGCTTTGCATTGCCCAATATCTGCCAAATGATTTGAGCAGTGTAACACAAGCACAGACAAAAGCCTGGTTTACGTAAAGTGAAATAGTCCTTGAAGGCAGAATAAAGCAGTGCTTGCGACTACGAGTTTTGCTGTTGACCACAACGGGAAAAAAAAACAACAGGAAAAAAAAAAGGAGTACAGCAAGTCCTGAAAACTTTGTGAGCATAAGACGTGAACAGATTTTCTAAACCAATAAAATTCAGTTAAAATTGAAACCAATTTTCTAAACCAAAATGTGGCACTTGCACTGGAGATAAACTTCAGTGCCTAAAAGACAGACTCTGCACAGAGCACAAGAGCATGAATGTTTGGTAGTCAAAACATTTTCACACTGAGTTTTGTCATAGTTTAACTGAACTGAAACCCTCTACTAAACAAGGCTCTGCATCAGTGGCACCTTGACCTCAAATGAGGAGGACATGTTATTTTTAGCTCTTAAAGAACTAATTTGTTTAAAACAAAAATCAATAACAACTATATAGCTTATGTGTTCTTATGTAGTTCTTTTCAACAATTATAAATGAATCAGGTGAAAGGGGAACTGCAGTCCCAATTTCTCAGACTGGTTATTAAATCTCGGTAACAAAATAAATTCACTGACGTGCTAGGCAAAAAATCTCACAAATTTTGAATTAAGCACAAAATCGTAAACCTTGTGAAATCACTGTGACGTGATGCGGCCCTTCCTGCTCACTAGTCACTGTAATGACTTATATAATGTGACGTACGAGCGAATAAGAACAGGCTGTACCGTACCGCAGAAATGTTCCAACGTGATCTGCATGCAGAGTTAACAAGCAAGTTGTATTCGTCGGCAAGACCGTCTTGAAATCAAGAGCAACATTTCTACGGGATTAAAATATTCACAAGCCTGCTGGCTCTACAATCTGATAGGGGCCGCGGCACGTCACTGGAAGTTTTGTTGGCTCATTCCGAATCGCGGACAACGACAGAAATATGGCGTCTTGCCCACAGTACCTGGAAATTGCGGCTATTTCCGCGATGGAAAGTTACGGCGCACATTTGACTTCTCCTGCCGTTTGAAATGCACTCGTCGGTGCCGATTCTTTCTAACCCCGAAGTCTAAAAATGGCGTCGCAGTTCCCCTTTAAATCGTGTAAATATGACACCCCCCCCGAACGGGAGACCCGGTCGCACCTTCGCTCCTGGCCGAACAGCCGGACCACCTCCTCGCGGCCGGGGCTGCGGGTTCGGGACCTCTGCTCCAGCCGCTTCTTCTCCACGCGGAAGGCCTCGCGGTGGCTGATCCTCCTGGCTTTGGGCACGTCGGCCAGGCAGGCGTACTCCCGGCCGCCTCTGCCCGGCCGCCCCGCCGGCTCCCCCCTGCCTCGCCCCTCCCAGCTGGCCCCGCTGGTCTGCGTGGTGCTGCTGGCCTCCGAGTCCAGGGAGCTCTGGGAGGAGCTGATGGTGGAGGAGCCGTTGGAGTAGAGGGGACCTGGGGAGAGGAGAGGGTCGCTGCACTCCGGAGAGCGGCAGGGGGGGGTGGCCAGGGGGTCCGCGTCTGGGGAACTATACCTGTGGGGGCCGCCGGGGCTGGTGGGGGCCGCCAGGGGCAGCTGCTGAGGGGGCTGGGTCTTCTCCGGCTTGGGCTTCTCCAGGGAGAAGTAACCACTTTCTACACGTGCCTTCCGCCCGCTGGGCGCCGCGCCTCGGTCTGCTTCGGGGCAGAGGGAGAAAAGAGGAGTGGGCCGAGGTGAGAAAGGGTGACCGGTTGGAAAGCGCCTACTCTATCTGAAAGAGCCTTCACTTCCGCCCTGCCCTCTGTCCACCACCGCCTCCCTAACCTCAGCTGTCCCAGACACCAGAAGTACAGCAGCAGAGAACGTGTGTGAGACATTACTCTAGAAAACCAGGTGTGTGAACGTACACCGCCGATGTACCCATCAGCGGATTTCGGATTCCAAACCGCCAGTTCGGCGATGTGTTTCAGAAACGAAACTGTTGCAGAAGAATGTGACCCCCGTTCTATAGACCTTCAAAGAATCCTGGAGGCGAATGCAAACACCATTAATCAGGGATTTGAAAGGCCCCCTGTCACTGAGGTGATCCTTCAGGTCAAACACACCTGACTCCAGCTAATCTCATCATGGGAAACTTTCCCTTTTCAACAGGAAGTAACATCCCGCAAGGTCACGGCTCTGAACATTTTAGAGCTTTTATTCAATCACAGTCTTTTCAACCTTCATGTATAAAACAGGTCAGAATAATTGAGAGTATCTTAGAACCTGGAGAGTAGAAAGGAACAGGCCTTCTGAGGAAGCCTGTAACATTAAAACAAGGTCTCGCACTCCAGAAAAAAGTAAACATAAATTTAATTCCAAATAATCTTACAGGAATTAATGTGTGATACTCTGCTGGGCATTGCTGCATACAGTGAAGTATCCTATAGAAGTCAAACAGTAAATTACTTTTTGAACCTCAGCTGTTGTGAGTATAAAAATGAAAGATGGCTACATAAAAACAGTTCCCAGGATTTTTTTGTAGGAAAATCGTGCTTCAACATTGAATCACTTAGATGGGCAATTTCTTCCGTTATCTGTCCTTTAGAATATAGTATATATTTTATCCCGAAAGAGGTGTTTAGCAATTTACATCACACCAAAAGCCCTGGATAACCACTGGTTTACTGCTGAATGATGACAGAAGTGGATACGCTGAATACCTTGAACTGACCTCATGGAGCTCTATTTTGTGGGAGGTGATTTCCTTATTTAAAAATTACAGCTATCCATCTGCCTCATCAGGAACAAGGCGGGAATACACTCTGGATGGGACAGCAGTCTATTGCAGGACACACAAAGACACAAACACGGACATGCAGATACACACATCAGATACCAATTAACCTACCAGTATGTGTTTAGACTGTGGGGAAAAAACCGGGGCACCCAGAGGAAACCCCCATAAACAAGGGAAGAACATACAAACTCCACACGTTAGCACCCCAGGAACTGAACCCAGGGCACCAGCCATGTAAGGTAGCAATGTTAACCACTGTGCCATAATGCCGCCCATCATAACTACTATTTCAGACAAAATCTTTGCAGATGTGACTTAATAAAGCAACATACTGTATAAAATGCCATGATAAACAACTAAACTTTTGGTTGTGCAGACATCTTCAGAATCATCGCATTTTTTACTTTTCAGCGCCAATTCATCATTACTTACTGTAGCACATGCTGATGCAGCTCTCCACTTGAACCTGATTAATTCAGGACATGTAGAACTCGCCTGAAAAAAAATCTATGCCTAAGAAGGAGCCTCATTAAATCTGGTTTAGGATAGGCCATGCGTAATACTGTATTTAACATTCCTCATATGCCTCTCTTATTTATCTACCGTTTTCCCTTAAAGACTATGCAGGATGCAGATAGAATGGAAAGACAACAGGACACAATGCACTTAACCATTTTGTAAAACATGCTGGGAGAAAAGACCCATTCCTTCTGTTGTAATCACCACTTCTTTCATAAAAAATAGAAAATAATCTCCAGTCATTTATAAAAGCTGCAAGACAACGGATGATTTCTCTGTTGCTGTGCCTATAAACCGACAGAAATTACTACCGTATATTGACATCTTAGTTCCATGCAGGGGCTCCTTATTTAGAAGAAAAAAAAGAAGAATCCTATGATGAAAACTTTTGGACACAGATTTAAAGACAATAGGTGTTTTAAGATCCCGCTGAGCTCCAAATCTAAGAGTCTTTGCTGACATCTAATTGGGATTATCCTGGAGTCCTAAAGCCTTGAGCAGGTGTTTTATCCTGGGTTTGAGAAAGCAGAGCTGCCTGTTTTCTAGCTAATAGCAGACAGGTGTGAGCATTAGCCACCTTCACAACTGATTAGCAGTTCTCTGTTCAGCCAGAATCATGATTGAAACTGTGTGTTATTTCAATCGACTAGCTGTGACCCTGCCTAAGCCTTCAGTCCTGTTGCCACAGACTTTGGGTCAAGTTTAACTACCATTATAATTACAGCTACTTCAGTAACATATGCTAAAATAACAACTACTGTACAGCGACAATGTGTTCAATTACAGCTGCAGATACAGTAGCTGATTTTCCTATTACCCAGTGACATGGGTAATTTTTTTTATTGCATTAACTTTATTTAATTTACTTAATTAAAATGTAGGAGCATAAAAAAATAAGAACCAAAGGAGGCCATATGGCCCATCTAATCCATTTGATAGATAGTAGTTAATTGATCCAAGAATCACCTGTACTTAAAAGAAAGCAAGGTAACATAAGCTAAAAGATGTGCTCAGGATCATCTACAGTACCATGTATTGTAACTGCAATTTCAGGTAATTATATTCCAAACTTTTTAAACTGCAGATTTTTTTTCCTTTCCTTTATTTCCAGTTTGTACTGCTACCATACATCTTTTACAATTACTTTTGGATAATGAGAAAATTAGCAACGGAATGTATTTCTTTCAGAAGGAATATGGTTCTGAATCCTTGAATCGCTTAAATATCACTAGCAAATACGGCACTTAAAAAACACGTTCAAACGTTTGTGCCAGTGAAAAGCTTCCTAAATGCAAAGGCTTGAAGAACTCTCAAGACAGTTGGATGGTTTTCAATTACAGCTGCCACCCACTTTTAAGCACAATGAATTCCATTATTGTTTTTTCCACTTGTGAAAAAAGTTAAAACTGTGACTTCTGAAGCACCTGTCAGCCATCTGGTTTTTCCCCAATCACTATGGCTTCGACCAAAGAAAGCTCAACATAAACAACTCAACAACACTTGCAAGGCTTGTATTATCGCCTGGGACACAACTGGGATATGAACCTGACGGTGTCATGTCCTCATTAGCACCACCAGGCTGAACAACCAGTCTAGACTGTTCTGCGCAATGAGGATGTTAGGTTTTTTTTTTATTGAGCATGAAGGCACCACAAAGCAGTCCCGGGGTCAGCTAAGACTGCCCAGTTTTAGACGCCAAATTTCGCCAAAAAGAAAACTTTTTTCAGAAGTTAAACATTTCATTTAGAACTGGATGAGAACGAAGCGGCCCACAAAGAATTAACAAGAAACCCGACACCCGTTTTTTGTGCTAATGTCCCATCCGGAGTGAGTTTTTTTAACACGACAGAAACCCAGGATAAATTCCAACTTGCCAGTAACTTCAGCTACAAGATGACTATAATCTTCAGCGGGTTTTTCTTTTTTAAGGAGTGTATGTTTTCTAATTTAACGCACCCGTCGCGTCTTATTTAAAAAAAGAGAATATCGGCACGACGCATAGCGACCCAGTATGAAAACAAAATGGGGCTCATTCACAAAGCATGTGAAGCACTTTCCTGCCTTCCTTGTGTGCGTCAGCCTCCTTTTAAGATTCAAGACAATGGTTCTTTTTATTATTTGTGTTTCTGTTTTTCCGAGAACAAGAAGATATTATTCCATACTGGGATTCTAGATTTCCGGATAGTTGGAATAAGCTGATACTCTTCCTTGTCAGGGGCTCAGTTCTGCTGCTGGTGGAATTCGAGCGAGTCGAGTCGGATCGGAACCGTGCGAGGCTCAATGCCATTCGGCGGTCTTGACGCCTCTTACCTTCTCTGGCCGCGGCTGAAGGGGCGCTCTGGGAGGGGCAGGCCTGGCTCAGCTGGCTGAGGCAGGAGGCACTCCGGCTGCAGGGGATGACCCTCATGTCGCCCCTCCTCTCCTCCTGCCAGAGGGTGGACTTGCTGGCCGGCACCTTCTCCACGGAGGGGATGCTGGGAATGGCGCTGTTGCTGGTCACCGCCACCTTGGCCGGCCCGGGCTCCTGTGAGGGGATGAGAAGTGGGAAACTGCTCAGCACATGGACTTTTGGGAATCTGGGGGGCCAGACAGACAGGCTAAGCAATCCTATTGGGTTGTGGGCAAAGCACCCTCTAAGCTGCACAAACAGCTTCTTGCTCCTATCTCAGGTGTCGCTCTGATCCCCTGTAAAGCTGTGTGTATGTGCTGCAATCCCGCTAAGAACACTAATGGTAATTCGACTGATTCACCATCTGACACAGGGCTCTTAATCAGGCTTGTGAAGAGGGATTATACCTTACAGTAAGACAACAGTTGCTACTACACTGGGAAGAAGGAGACATCATTTCAGCATTTAAACAAAAAATCGTGTTGTTTTTAAAAGTTTCTTTTGGCCACTCTGTACTGAATACATCAGGCCTGATTAGGGTCCTGTCCATGTCGATATGTGCTCTCCTTACAGAATAAGCAGAAGGTAACCTGGTTTGGGTTCATCACAGAGGATTCTTTTCCAAACTTTTTACAGCACGAAGACTCACAGTAAAGAGCGGCTGTTTGCAAATAAAAACACTAAGGCTTATATCTAAATATGACTTTTTAGATAAAGTTAAAAGCAGTTCAGTGTGTGCTCGTCAACATTCATCTGCTTTGTAAACTTAATTATAAAAATGTTTTTTTATAATGCATTGGTCTCCTTCAGAGTGCAATAAAGATTAAGTGTCTGCGCCTGATTTCGATGTCACCTAACATCCACAAAATTAATTACTCTGAGCTCAGCTTTACTCCTCTGTTTTATTTGCTAATTAAATTAACTTGGGAGACCAGGTATTTGACTCCCATTTAGAACGGGTAATTACAGCATGACAGTTCTGGGGATTATGACTTCTGGGATGAATAAGGAGTCACAAATCACAGGCCCCATACTGTCTATTTTAAATTTTCAGGATAAATCACAAGAACGTTCATCCTGGATGGAGTTGAGGTGCGTTCAAGATGCCTGGAGGCGTCTGATGAGGCACAGAGAGGAGAAACAATGCTCTTCTCAAGCAGGTAAGACAAAACCTTATGATTACATTTCAGTTAAAATGTGAAGGATGAATGAAGCATTTATTAGCTTTTGAACTATCAGATGCAAATGTTTAGGAATAACAGAAGACACGCTGGTAAGAATATAAAATGTAGAGTTTATTATATAGAGTTTATCTCTGATGCCATTGTTCATTATCTGATCTGTTAAGAAAGCAGAGACAGCAGAGAATACTCCTTTAATGTCACCTATATCACGTATCCGATATGAATCTCAAAATCCACCCCGTTTTACCATTTTACTATTTACTATAGGGTTTAGTTTGCATTAAAAACTATAATATTAGACTATGCTAATTATTTTTTTCCTATACATATGTACCTTTTACTTTTACAATGTATAAGTCTACAAACTTTCACATCGCCTTCAAAGCTAACCAAAGATAATTTGAAGACCCGTACAACTGTTGGCTAACTGTTATGATCCACATACCAGAATTTCCTGGATGTCAACAGACCTACACCTTTTAACAAACTCAATTAAAAATATCCAATTTTCACTACCTTTATTCCAACAAACACTGAACTCTTCAGGTATCAGGTTTTTCCAATTAAACAGATGTTAATTTGAAATTTTCATTTGGACGTTTCAGAAGAAAAAAAAAACAGGAGTGTGCTGGTCTCCTAAACAAGATTTTGTTCCTAAATCAATCTACAGTCAAAAGTCTGTCAATCAAATCTTATAAATCAAATTGTTAATTAAAGACCACATACAGCAACATTTTATGAAACAAATACAAGTAAAAGGTAAGAATCAACTTGAAAACCAAACCTGTATGCTCCTCTGTTCAGAAATGCTTTATTAAGTGAAGGATCTCCAACACAAATTCAGGGTCAAATGACAGTAATCCTGGCACGCTAGGTGAGGACAAACACACTGCGTCTTTGGCCTCTGAAAGGCTTGAGTACAGACTCCCTCAGGCCAATTAGACAATGCCGAACACTGTCCCTATGGCAACCAGCTGTTTCACCGCTGTACAAAAGGCCGACATGTCAATGATGTACCTCCTGAAGAGAAACTCAAGACAAGAATCTGCTACAACATAGACAGTGAGCCTGGAAGAATGCAGCTTCTCAGCAAGTGAGGGATAAGAAATGAGAGAAGCATGTGCAGTTAATTAAACTCCTTTTCCCTGGAGTTGCAAGTCGCCCACACATCTTGCCTGTCCTCTTCTAACAGAATTCCCTCTTGACACCCTAGAATAATGGCTCTTCAAATACTACTGCAACAGAAAACACTTTGAGGTTTTCCTTTAGGAGTAACATATTAAAGCACAGCTCGTTTGAGCTGGCCAGTTAATATGAACTGAGGACAGGACAGGAGCCTAAACCTGTCAGACCTTCTCTCCCTTCTTAAAACTTGTACAACGTTCGCTTAAAAAAAGTAATTCCACTTATCTGGGGATCAGAAGCAACTGTTTATATTTCTGTGAACTGAACAAAAGATAAATGCTTTGAATGTACCGTAAGCGACCACAGTGTGGGGAAGGGAACACTAAAATGGTTCAAACTGGTGGTGAGTAATTCCATTTTAGTGTCAAAGGTGGACAAGCTCTTTACACAATTAAATTCGCATTAATGGCCAAACACAAAAAACCATCTCGCAGGGCATGTAGCCAATCCAAACAGTCAGCACACGCTCAAAAAGTGGAAGAACAAATCGGCTCAGAATCCGCCAGGCCTTCTTTCTTCCTTTACTTCGAGTCAAT